ACTTTTAATGTGTAATTATCCTAATATTGTTTAAGAATAAATGTCAAAAATTACATGTATTTTAAAATAAAAATTTAATCGTGGCCATGTAAATTCATAATGACTAAGATTAGCTAACTATCGAATTTAATTACTTATAACTAATGCTTACCTTTAAAAATAATCTCTGCACATTAAAGCGAGTTATTGCATTTTATTAATCCTTACTGTGGTCACAAGATAAAACACAAAAATGTAAAAATTCATCTAAAACTTATTCTGTGCATTTAGTGAGATTTGAAATAATACAAAACAGCTTATTACCTCTGCTACTTTAGTGGCTTACTGGAACCTTAAAGAATATTAACTCTGTTACAACCTCTGGAACTCTACAGGAAGCTAACTGCATCAGACAGAGCCCAACTAACTTTCAAAAGCTGCCAACTGTTCCTGCATCGGGCCTTTCAGGTTTCCTCTGATCAACAAGTCTCTCTCTAGGCAAGCATCAGTGGTGACAAAAGCCAGTCTTTTGTTATGAATCACACTGATTATGACTTTACTTGTCATTTTAACCTATGCCACTTGACATAAAATCTACCTGCTATTTACTAAACCTCTAGCTAGAAGAATGTGGAAAAAATGAGGCTACAACATCACAGACATTAAATCATTAATAAGTGCCACTTATCTTTGAAAACTGTCAACAGTTATGAGCTACTTGAAAAATTTCATAAGTTTATTTATGCTCAACTTATTAATTACTTATGTTATTATGTTTAATATTAATGCATCCTACTTACAGATCTATTTAGTGTTAGATGTATTCAAAAGTGAAGTCAGGAATGATAATATTTTATATGCATTTATTCGTTCCCATTGCTCATAGTCCTAATTTTTTAATAATGGTCCTTAAAAGTACTTAATTTCCATGTGCAGAAAAGTGTATGAAACAAGGTATAATGTTTCCTGTTAATTCAGCTCAGCAAACCATTTCGAACCATATTCGGAAGATTGGATTGGTGTGGAAATATTTTAGATGGGTGCCACATGAATTAAGTCAGAAGAATTTGAATGATCGATTTGTCATATGCACATCTCTGCTTGCTCCAAACAAAATGAAGCTCTTCTTGAACTGGATATTAACTGGGAATGAAAAGTGGATCACCCACGGAAACATAGTAAGGGAAAGGGAATATTGTGAACCCAGAAAACCTAGCCCTCCCACCTCTAAACGAAATTTGATCCTGAATAAGGATAATGTTGTGTATATGGTGAGCCATTCGAGGACCAGTACATTATGAGCTTTTAAATCCAAACAAAAAACTCAATTCGAAGAAGTACTGTCAGCAATTAGACAATTTAAAGAAAACAGTCCAAGAAAAGATGCCAGCGATTTTCAACAGGAAGGACATCATACTCCATGATGATCATGCCAGGCCACATGTTGCTTTGGGGAGTCGTCAAAAAATTGCAGAACTAGGCTGGGAAATTCTGCCATATTTCCAGGACTTAGCACCCTCTGACTGTCACTTGTTTTTGTCCTTACAAAATTTTGTGAAGGGCAAAAAATTCAAAAATGAAGTAGATATTAAACAAGCACCAGCTCAATTTCTCGCATCAAAAGTTGCATCATTTTTCAAACATGGGATATACAAATTGCCCTCACACTGGCAAGGAGTCATTAATAATAATGGCAATTATATTATTTTAACAAAGTTTATTGATGGTGAGAAAAATTTGTATTTTGTTTTATTCCAGAAATGGACAGACTGTATTTCCGATAGACCGTATATTTAGCCTTTTTTTATATAAATTATAATAATAAAAAATTGTACGATGTGAAATTAACCTTTCATCTAAACTAAAATAATAACCAAAGAAAGTTATTTACTATCATGCATCCATTCAGTCATGTTTAGCCTTTTTTTATATAAATTAATAGTATAGATTATAATAATAAAACAATGTATTATATGAAATTAACTTTTCATCTAAATTAAAACAATTATCTTAGTTATATATTATTATGCTTCCTTTCTTGTGTTAGGGTTGCCGTAATTATTTTTGGCAGCATTAGGATCAACAATAGTTGGGTGAATTTTTACGGTCCTTAAAACGGAATTGTACCATTTTATATAATACAATGTTTGAAACTGGCAATAATAAGTGAGCATGAGTTTTTCCCTCTTGAACTGAAACTTGTTTGTTTCAGGTAACATTTTTGAACTGTTTTAATTTCAAGATTATTGTGTAATACTTTTTAAATGCATAAATTTAAATGGAAAGCAGTCAGTGTAAGCTGTCCGCATGAGCATTTTCGTGATTTTTGTACCAAGATTATGTTTTCCTTACAAAATCCTTCCTGAATGCATTCCTGTCTTTGGCAGATCTTCTGAATAAGAGAAATGAATATATTCCCCAAAAGGAAAGCTTTCACTGTAAAATATTATTGATTTAATTAAGACTAAGTATTAAGACTAAATATACTCTTCTGATAATGAGAAAAACACTTTAAATAAAATTGAGTATGATGGTAAGAGAATTTAAATATTAATTATTGGCATGCTTGTAAATGAAAAATTATCCATTAATAATAGTACATTTCACAACCTTTGAATTTTTAGTGTGACTTGACATTGCACAGTAGCATACTGGTTTTTAACATGTTATGTCATTACTTTTTATATTTTAAGCAGGTATTTAAACTTTGTATTTTTATATGCATATTCTTTTTTATCAATTAATTCCTAAACTTATATTTTCTTGGTTGTTGATATGTGAGGATAATCCCATAAGATGTATGGTTTTATCCTTTGTTATTGAAATATTTCTGTAATTTTGATAACATTAGATGAAAAAAATAGTTGAGCATTTAGAATGATACTATGAGTGAAAAATTAATGCTATAATTTTAAGAATAGATTAGATTGCCATAATTTTACGCTATATTTTTGCTATATTTTATTAGATTGCTATAATTTCACGAATAAGATGAAACGAGTTTGTTAAGAAAACTAAAATTAGTTACATTAAAAAAATCACACACAAGTTATGAGTTTGATACAGCATTCTTGAAATTTTATATCCTGGTTGAATGGAAAGTGTAAATAAATATGTCTGTATTCATAGTTGCCATTTAATTAATAAATAGTATCGCTTAAAAATTATTTAAATGTTTCCAATCTATCTGTTTATCTTATTTTTGTCTGCTGTTTGTTTTAATATGAAAACACTTTGATAAAATGTAGTAATATGATGGTTTACCTAATAAATTTCAGAGTATTTCTTGGAAGACTGCATTCAGATGCTGAATTTTGTTCCACCACCAAGTACTAGAAAGAAGAAACGGGACGAAGAAACTCTTGATACGGATGAACCAGATGTGAGCTAGTTATGAAGTCATCTTATTTTATAAACTGGTTTTTAACAACTTTTTAAAAAGCCCCGCCCCCCCATACCTGATTGCAACAACCACCATCACAACCACTAATTCATTTTCATCATATACAATCTAAACATCATTCCTTCACTTAGAAAATAAAATTTCTTCAATTTAAGGTTCTATTTTTACCATTTATCTTCTAATCTTTATTCTTATTAGCAAAATGCAAAAATTTCTGATAGATAACTACATTAATCATCTGTTCTTTCTGATGACATATTGAGTTTTCTGTTATAGTATTTGATAAATGGCTCACAATGCTAAATGTAGATGAACTGGAACATGTTAATAAAGTACATATACTCTCATCAGTTATTCATATGAAATTTGGGTTTGTGTCAGCAACACAATGCTGCACCATTATGTGTTGTTTCCTTTACCTGAACTTAAATTCATCATGTGGATATTTTATTGGGTTTTTACTATAGGAAAAATGCTAAACTTCTTATAAATAGCTATAGCTTTTGGATCCATTTGTGGGACATTTTAAAATTTATACATACCTCTAGGTCAGGGGTTCTCAACCGGTGGTACACAAGAGAATATAGGTGGTATGCAAAGAAGCAAAATATTGTTAACTATTAAATTCAAAAATTAAAACCCCCTACATACTAATTGAGTTTTTTTCTTTAACACTCATAAATTTATGCGATCTGAGCTTTGTTCAAGAGTGGGGGTTTTTATGTTATTAGATGGTACGCATTAGTCAAAAGGTTGAGAGCCGCTGCTCAAGGTGCTATTTGAGACTTAACTAAACTAACTAAAAGTGTGCAAAAATCATGCTCAGCAATAAAATGTGATACCAAGTAAAGTTGCACCAAAAAGTATGAAAAATCAGATATTCAAGTGATAATAAGGATGTCTCATTTATTGCCAAAAAAAGACCAACGATAATAACAGTACCAAAATTCTTTGGTAAAAATTCTAGCTATTATACTGATCTAGCAGTTAGCTGTAATTCATTTCTCCAAATACTCGATGGCAAAAACATCTGGAATTTGTTAAGGATTTGCTATGTAATTGTTTAATATCAAAATATGAAAGTAATCTTTCTTGTTGCAAAATTAATGAATAAGTAAAATTATTATTTTCATATAAAAATTTTATTTCTTCTGAAATTATATAATTTTTTTAATTTGTCCCAATTTTTATTTTGTGATGTAGCTATCAATTTCTATTTATTTGTTAAACTTTGACGTAACTTAACAACATCTTAAGTACTATTTTGGTGATATTAATTTGAACTCTATTAAATGTCAAACAAAAATTACTTTTAAATTTATACCATATCAGTTTATTTTTTATCACTAACTTTTTATTAAGTGCTGGTTATGCAATGTGCTTTTCTCTTGTGTTAGGAAAATTTGAACAAAGTAATTGGACCTGATTATACTCCTAGCACTAAGCAAGCTATGGCATCACTAAGTGAAAAGGAATTATCTTTTGAGTTAATTGAAGTAAGTTAGCAAAATGAAGCATTTTCTGCATTTGATTATATAATAAGATCCATTTAATGAATTTCTGATTAATATAATTATTGATTTATGACAATTCCCCAAATTGAGTGATAGTTTTCAACATGATTGTAAACCTCAGAGTTAGTATACTAACTGACCTTAATAATGAAAGCATACAAATGATGCGCATCTACATGGTATCCATAAATTATGAAGTTTTTAGGAAATTATTCAGATTTCAACTGAAGTTTGAAAATAAAACTAAACATTATTAATGTAATGTTCTGCAACTGAGAATTGTTTCATGACTAAACAAGAAGGTGTAGGATGTCACTTAAATGACTCTGCCCATCGAGAAATCAAGGCTTTCAGAACCAAACTCAATGCAAAAAATTAAATGCTTATTTGTATGCATATATATAGTTGTCTGTGTTAGTAAACTGAAAGGTAAATTAGAATTTCAGTTATCAGGCATCAAAAAAGATTGTGCCTTAGCTTTCAGTGAGAAATAAAAACCAAATAATTTCCTCCATCCATCGACCCTCTCGTGCTCACTTCAGCATTGTAGTTTGTACAGACATGGCCAACATGCCGTTCAACTCTGCACTGACTGCACTGTGGACGGGAATGTCAACATCTGAAGTCATCCCACCAGGGTGTCTGACAGCTTCCATTTGATTTTCACTTTTCACTCCAGCGGAGCGGTGCAAACGTTTTTGGATACATGGTATATATTATAATACATTATTTATTTCGTTGTCATGTATTTCCTAAGGACCGAAGGGACGTAGCCGAGAAAGGCTGCAACGATACAATGTATGAATGTCTGTGACCCGCCTGCAGAGGAAAGCCATGGCAGAGGAGATGAAGAGTTTGATGGACATTTTAGTCGGATATAAAGAGATGATGTACCTGGCTTTCATCTCAGCCCTCATCGTGGCTAAGAAGTCCATCAGAGTCTTCGTTTCCTCCGCCATGGCTTTTCTAGGCAGGCGGGTAACTGGTTGTTACGATTTTTCTTTCTTCTGACACCAGTTGTTACGTTATTTTCTTCCTTCACGTTCGTACGAGGTTCATATGGATTTGGAGTGAATAACAACGACACTTGATAAAGTATCAAAACACACTTTATTGACCGGTATCAGTCAGGACAGCTCCAAAACACATTTTACAGTCGTCAATGATCTACTATACTATAAACATGCTGGAACAATCAGCGACACAACCTTCACACTGTCAGGCAATAACGGTGTAGGCAGCTTCCTGCGAAGCACCAGAGTACAGCTCCCGACTCTGCTTGGTCGTTCTCGGAACTCCACATACTCTTGAGACTCTCCACGCTACAGCTCCCGACTGTTCCGTTCAGTCGTTCCCGGAGCTCAACACGCTCTCTCAACGATGCACTAGCCGCGACCCACTCGGCACTCACTGCCCGGCTGTCAACTCGATCGACTCCGCATGGACTGACTTGCTAGATGAGACACAAACTCTCGCCCTCACGATGAAGCACACTCTCAATACTACTAACTTTCCGCGTACCAGCAGGCTTTATATAGCTTTTGGCTGGTGTTTGAGAACATTCCGGGCTAAATCAGTAAGAATTAGACAAAATTGGCGATGTGCCATTCGTCCATGACACATCGCCAATTTTGTTGTCAAATGTGGCAACCCTGTCTTCCCTTGCCATTTTATGGCAACCCTAAAACTTCTTGAGGGGAAGCTATGTTACCCGTGCCTGGACATTTCGTAACACTGCCCCCTCCCAAGGACTGCACGTCCCGTGCAGTACAACCCTTGGTCAGAAACCAAATTCGATACAAACAAAATGTAATGAAACAAACGTAAGGTACAGTCAAAAGTCGTTAATCCGGACTCGTCGGGACTTCGGCTATTCCAGATTATAGATCATCAGTTTAAATCTCGTAAGATGGCATGCAGAAATTCTAAATAAAAATATGAAACCGTAATTTATGAAATAAAGAACAATTATGATCTAAAGGGTATCAAAATTTACAAAAAAAAAAAAAAAAAAAAAAAAAAAAAGCTAATAATTATTTTTTTATTTTATTAAACATTTCTTTCAATGTAAGTTGTTTGAGTTGCTTGCATTTTTATGTGATAATACTTTCTCTTTAAAATTCTATAAACAGACATAATTTCTTGTTAGTTACAAAGTCCCGCTGTTCAAATCCCGTTAATTGCTGTGCCGAGAATACCGACTAACTTGTCAATCGAAATTTTTTTTCGTTTTCACACTAACTTCTCTGTCACATTCTTCATGTCTTGCATCCATTTTTTGCAGCAATTCCACTTTTGTTTGTTGGACATCGAAACATACTTTCATTTTGTAGATCCTTTGGAAGTTCCAGCATCGGAAATTCTATTTGACATAATCGAAATTTCAAGTTTACTTTTATAAAATTGCTCTTACACTCTGCAAAAAATAATAAGCGGGATCCAATTCGAAGATTAAGGAACAACGCAATCATTAACATTAACTGAAATAGATAATTAGATAATTTTAGCTTACACCATCCATTATACATTAAACGCACAGGCGAAAACGTATTCTGCACTTGCGCACACGCACATGCGCAGTAGTCAAGGTCTTACGCGCACGCGTAAAACGCCTGTGCCAACGCGGCGCATGCGCAGAAAGTTTTTAGCTTTGAGGTCCGGATTATGGGTGTCCGAATTAGCGACTTTTGACTGTATAAATAAATAAAAACTAAAGAAACAAATATTTACACTATGTACAAGCTATATACATAAATTAAACCTATAACAATTTTAAATTATACAAATTAAAGTTCATAATGAACTTCAGTCTCAGTCTTTTCATTAATTTATACCTAGGTCAAATACTTTTCCACTGCAGTTCAGATGCATTTCTGTTTTGCATATCACAGTATGAAGATTCAGTCCTTTCAGACTTATAATCCACAGGAAGATCTGAAACAGTTTGTTCATTATTCTGTAGTTCATTCTCACCAGGCATACAGTTCACCTCAGTATTTTTAGCAATTGATAGATGCTTATTTTCCTCCGTTTCATGGGAACCAGTTCCGATGTTTCGACCAGGGTCGTGAATAGAATCTGATCCTTTACAAGCGCAAGTATCTGCGTTTAGAATCAAGTCCTTCCCTGTAAAACTTGCACTATGAGACGCACACATAGTTTGCAAAGTGGGCGAATTTTCTTGCAATACTGGAGCACTCTGCGTAAGTTGTACATCACATTCTCCCATCTCTGCATCATATGCTCTTTCAGATGGTTCAATACTTGATAACTGCGACTTCGTAACCTCACTAATCATTTTTGACGAACTTAACAGTCGTATTTTCACTTTCTTCCACTTCAGGCTTTTGTGAGTTAAAAGCTTCTTTCCCGTCTTTTATTTCTTCATTTTTTGTTGTTTTCCTTTAATTCTGTTAGATGTTTCATCCTTAATTTCTTGATCTCTCTCAGCCAATCCATTAGGTACTTCCTTCTTTTCTTCGTACTTTCATTCTTCAGATGCCACTTCTCTCATTTCCACATCCTCTTTTATGCCTCCAGTTTCTTCTGTAAGCTCCACTTTCAGCTGTTGGAGTTGCTCTCGCACATTTTCTTGGCCGCCATTTATCTCTTCTCGTCGGCCTTTCTACTTTTCTAGTCCGGCTTTGATCTCAGTTGTCATCTCTTTATGTTCAGCTTTTATCTCATCATATCCGGCTTTTATCTCAGCCAGTCTGGCTTTCATTTCAGCCTTCATCTCAGCCCTCATCGTAACATATTCGGCTTTTATCTCGGCTAAAATGTCCATCGAACTCTTCATTTCTTCCGCCATGTCTTTTCTCTGCAGGCGGGTCACTGGCATTCACTCACAAATCCCACTTCTGACATCAGTTGTTATGGTTTTTCTTTCTTCTGACACCAGTTGTTACGTTATTTTCTTCCTCTTCCGTCACGTTCGTACGGGGTTCGTGTGGATTTGGAGTGAATAACGACGACACTTGATGAAGTATCAAAACACACTTTATTGGCCAGTATCAATCAGGACAGCTCCAAAACACGTTTTACAGTCGTCGATGATCTACTATAAACACGCTGGAACAATCAGCGACACAACCTTCACACTGTCAGGCAATAACGGTGGAGACAGCTCTTTGCGAAGCACCAGAGTATAGCTCCCAACTCTGCTTGGTCGTTCTCGAAACTCCACGTACTCTCGAGACTCTCACGCTACAGCTCGCAATGCACTTGACGATGCACTAACCGCGATACACTAACAGAATCCTACGGTGCACTCGGCGCTTGCTGCCCGGCTGTCAACTCGATCGACTCCGCACGGACTTACTCGCTAGATGAGACACACACTCTCGCCTTCACGATGAAGCACACTCTCAATACTACTAACTCTCTGTGTACTAGCAGGGTTTATATACAGTCATGAAAGTTTTCTGGGTTTTTGAACGTCACCCAGGCTGTTTCTGAGATCGATGTAGAACCGTTGAGATATCGCGACCAGCAAATGTGTGTGTGTGTGGGGGGGGGGGGGGGGGGTAAAACGGAGGACACGCTCTCTCCCTCTTTTCTTTGTAAAAAAAAAAAAAAAAAATCATCATGTTAGAGATCGCGAAATACAATGTTTTACATCAAGGCGAAGTAGGTGGGGCTTATGTGGAAAGGCGGAACTAGATGCGTACGAATATCGAATCAAAGAAGAGCAAACAACTGTCAAACGAGAATTGACTTCAATAATTTCAGCGATTGCTGCTGGCGCCATCTGTCGGACATATGGATAACCACTTGCATTCTCCAGTACACAAAACTCTATGTAAAAATTTAAGGACTGCTCATAAACTGTACAAAGAAGAGTTAGATTCTCGCTCCTCCTTTTTTTTATCTCTAAAAAAAAAAAAAAAAAGCAATTAAACATTGCAGAAAATAAAGAAGAAAATGAAAAGTATCAATGGATTGTATAAAAGCTGCTGAAAAGAAATTAACACTAGCCGCAAACGGAAATTAGGAAAGTTGGCTGCAAAAAAAGAAAAAGCGTTTTCCCTAAAACTTTTTAATCAGGATCGAGTGATACAGACAAAATAGTTATTTTTTCAATTCCTCTTTTAACTGTATATTATGTTATTTTGTAACGTATGTATGTAGGTTATTTTTTTGGAAGCAGAAGAGATAAAAAAAAGGCAACGCCTCCGCCAGGAATCGAACCGCGCACCTCTGGAATACCGGCCCAGCGTGCAGAACCACTACACCACGAAGCCACGCTAGGAAAGCGGGAGAAATACCTATACTCCCCTTTTTGAAGGGCGACTGGGGTTTTTAGGGAACCTAATTGCCAAATCCTGGGTGTGGAGAATCCTCATCCAACACCCTTTTTAATTCGGGCGCCACTGTAGAGACATTAGGATATTTGGAAGCAAGAGAGATGGAAAGATTTGGATACATGGTATACATTATAATGCATTATTTATTTCATGGTTATTTATTTCCTAATTGTTTGTTTGTTTCCTAATTGTCATGTTTAATGCTGTTTTATTTGTGCCCTTTTAATTTCCAGCAAGGTTTCATGAGCATCATATGGGGTATTTCACTGTATTTTAATGTTTACTTTTCTGTCTCTCTGAATTCTTGTAAGTTTGAGAAATGCTACTTTACAGACACAAAAAATCTTTGCAAGTTTCCATAGCAAATAAAAAAAATTACAATAAATATATTATAAATTAAATAAGGGAATGAATGATGCTCAATGAAAATATTATGTTAAAGAAATTTTCAAACCTAGAGGATTAGTTTCTCCAAAAAGGCGAAGTATTGTTATAAAGTTGGATTGACTTTTGATTTGACTTGAGATTTTGAAGAAATGAAGAGGCTTGTTTTCTATGAACTTTAATTTTTAGTTGTCCAAATCCTATAATTTTGCACAGTAACATTAACTACTGAGTGCAAAAAAGCCCAAATTTTGCATTAAAGAAGACATGCTGTCTGTTCATAAAATGTTTCAATTACCATCTGCTATTGACTTCCATATACATAAATAATTGGCAGTAAGATGTTTTTGTGCATTTCTTCAGAAGAACAATAAGTTCAGAATATTTTAAAAACTTATGCTGGCTGTGCTCACAGGGACCTAAAGATCTGGCAGTTACCTTTGCAATACTATATTCAATAGCACTGGCTGTTCTATTGTACTGTAGTGTTAATGCTATACCCTGCATTGCTGAATGGTTATTTGCATTGCTGAATTCTCTGCCATGTTTCATCTCTAAAGAATTTGTCACTCCCAGTTTTAAAATTTGTTTTGTATAAACAAGTCCTGTGATATTAATTTCTGCAAAGCTGTTAACACACAGCTAATTTTCCTATAGAAAATCTTTATGAAGAAAACAACATCTTCTGGCAGCAAAGTCATTTTGATTACAAACCTCATTTACAGTATAAATCATATTCGGCAGATATTTGTTATTAATAGCTTCTTCCCAAAGTATATGCTGTTTAATAATGTATATAATTTGCATTTTGATAAATGTATCGCATATACAGTGGAGAACCGCCTGTTGAATATTTGAAGTTAATTTTTCATCCTTGCCAAATTAATTTACCTCAAGTGTAGTAAAGTGTATAAAACATAAAGCTGTTCGGGACAAGAGCTGGTCTTATAGAGCTTTTGAAATATAAACTTCTTTTGAAATAAAAACTTTTGAAAAAACTATAATATGTGGGTGCATGTGCACATTTGCTATGTTTTGTTATAATTTTTTTTTTTTTTTTTTTTGGTAATAACTAGGCCCTGCTGTCATATATTAAAGGTTTGAATGTACCAGGAGCTGTTTTAGTCTTTCTTCCTGGCTGGAATCTTATATTTGCTTTAATGCGTCACCTTCAACAACATCCAACTTTTGGCACACCTCAGTATTGCATTTTACCTTTGCATTCTCAAGTTCCAAGGGAAGATCAGCACAGGGTATTTGAACCTGTTCCTAGCGGTGTTACAAAGGTATGATTTAGTTACTTATTCAAAAATGGGACATATTTTTACTTATTACTATAATTTTGGGGAGCAGTTTTGTGTTTTGCTTTGAATTATCAAAATATAAAAGCAATTTCTCTTTTTCTGTCTGTACTCTTCCCCTCTTTTCTTTCTTGTTTTGTTTTTTTTTTTTTTTTTTTTTTTTTTTTTTTTTTTTTTTTTTTTTTTTTTTGTTTTTTTTTTTTGTTTTTTTTTTTTTTTTTTTTTTTTTTTTTTTTTTTTCTTGTTTTTTTTTTTTTTTTTTTTTTTTTTTTTTTTTTCCTTTCCCCCTTTTTTTCTTTTTTTAATTTTTGAAATAAAGAAAGTAGTATTACTGTGTTTTTTTTGTGTAAATTAAAATATTTTTATTAGAGTTTTCAAATTGGTGTTTTTTAATATTTTATTTTTTAGATAATTTTAGCCACAAACATTGCAGAAACAAGTATCACTATTAATGATGTAGTTTATGTCATTGATTCATGCAAGTATGTATTAATTTTTCCCTATTTAATTGGTTTTCTTTTTTATATTATACTATTGAATTTTATGTCATTAGAAATTACAGGTGGATTAAAATGAACAGATATATGTTGATTTATATAATATTAAGTAATGATGGTTAAACAAAATATGAGAATATTATTATGTGCATAAAAGTAGGAAACTAATTTGAAGTGTTTTTATATATACATTTTGGTTCTTATGTATTATATTGTCTTTGAAACGGCAAGTACTGTAAAATTGTGATTTTTTGCCATTGATTGCCAATTTAACCATATAAAGATTTTCAGCAACCTTTTATATTTAGTTTTTCTTATGAAAGTTGCATGTTTGGAGTAGGAAATTGCCATCAGTAGAAGATTATTCCCTTACATTATTTTTAACAAAATGTGCAACTGGCAAATCATGCAATTATGCATCCGATCTGTATGATAGAAAATGATGTGTAACCCTACCACTGAAAAAGCAGTATTCAAATGGTCATAATATGGTGGTATATCTGTAATCAAGTTAGTAGAGGTCGTGTAACTTATCTTTATTGCAAAAAATAGCTCTGTTAAAGCAGTGTTTTGAGGGATTCAAAATGTCCTTCATCATTGCTTTTGAGATTTATATACTGCTTATACTATGAATGTTCATTTATAAATTGGCCAAAGCAACAGTTAAATATGACTAATGAGGTAGTCATTGACTAAATAATTAGGAGGTATGTACTGATAGTCTTTTATTAAGACTTTTGTATAATAAGGATTTTGAACTGAACAAAACTGGAAAAATGAGTGAAAGTTTCAATGTGAAACCTGAAAAATAAAATAACAACTACCACAGCAAGGTTTGTTTAGTGATTTCTTCTGGTAGTTAGATGAGTGCTATTTAGTAAAAATGCTTTATAGAAAATTGGTGATGTTCAGATGTTCATGGAAGTTGTAAAGGAAAGCAGAAAACATGAATAATTTATTAAATTTTTCGAAAACTTGTAAAACATTGAAGTTAAAATAATAAGGAACCTCTAGTTTGACTATTAGGATCATAATACTTCTGCTCATATGGAATCCATTGAATGGGTATGGGGCTTAATGGAGAGTGGTGGAACAGAAAACTTTGATATACCTGGATATGATTTTTTTTACAGAATTTGTGTATATAGCATCTGGATAAAACAGATACAGTTTTCTTTATTTTATCCACCACTTAGAAGAAATTCTGCTCATTATTATAATAGAAACCAACAGTGCTGTAAACAGTAATATAATGTAACTATTCAATATAAATGTTTTTAGCACTGGGATTAAATAACATTCACGATAAATATTTCCTCTCGAATTCTTATGTAATTTGTTTTTTCATATTTTTCCCATATTTGATTCAAAATATTAGAAATTAAATACAATCATTAACCTATTCACTGCTAAGACTTAAAAAGACTTAGAACTTGCAGACAAACACCGCAGTGATGTGGTGACCAAATGCCAGTTATGTGTTGACCTTTAAAGACACCACATAATTTTATTTCTTGATGAATAATTTTTTAGGACACGCATACTTGTGAAAGTGAGTGCACATTTTAGTAAAGGTTATACATAGAGTTGATCTCTTTGTTTAAATTTTGAATGGTGATTGGACACATGCTAACCACATTTCAGGATTAATAAGATGACATAATGTGGATTAGTTTTTAGATGATGCAATTTACATTCATAGTTTTAGACAGCAAGGGCACATAACCGAATTAAAATGAGGAATTAAAAGGACTGTTGCTAATTTAAAACTAGTAAGTTTCTTTCATAAATTAATCACTTCGTAAATAATGTAAACATAAATTTATATTGCTGATAATTAGATTCATAATAAAAGTACATGCTTTTAGTACATGAAAGAGAAGAAGAAGATTATACTTCTGTTAACTACATTTATAATAAAACGTTTGTTTTCAGTGGAAAATTACAAAATTTCTCTGCTTAGCTTGAACAGACAACCTGAACTTCTTCGTAGAATCTGACGCTTTTGCGACTGCATGGAGGAATTGATTGAAATGGAAAATTGAAAAATCACTCACTTTAAGAAATGTGACCATAGAGAATAATAAATTGGTCTTTTTCTGTTTGTTAAACTTCTCAAAACATACAAATATAGTTTTGCAAAGTCTTTAAATAGAAAACACATATTCTAGCAGATTTAGTTAATGCTAACAAATGAGATAAAAAGTACTTCTTTCGATAATTTGCAGTAACAAACTGCATCTATTAAGGTGGAAAAAAATGTTTATATTATACACTCTTAGAGGGGGGAAAGACGCACCGAGAAGATATAAAGCAAATTGGACGCAAATTGATATGCATACAGATTTCGACGGTAAATGCAAAATTTTACAGTTTGGCTGCCAATGAATGAACGGTTGTCGCTACGCCTCTGATCTGCGCAACTCGCAGGATATTTAAGAGGAGAAGTTACGATTCCAGGTCATAAATTCTTCACAAATTTCATTCTGTGTACTCTGGTAGACAGTAACTATGCCTCACATACAGGTGCGCGAACAATATGCACAGATGTCAGAATTTGAAAGAGGTCATGTAGTTGGGCTCAAAGAAGCTGGTTAGTCTTATCGGCGAATAGCTCGACATTTGAGCAGGAGCGATGCCACTATTAGACAATTTTGGCAGGAATGGGTGAACCATGGCCGCACAGAGTGTCAAGAAGGAAGCGGTAAGCTTAGAGAAACGATAGAACGTGAAGACCGAGCAATCGTCAGAGTGGCACTTGCAGCCCCAGTTGCATCATTATCATCGATTGGACGTGCAACTAGTGCTGAGTGACCGCTAGGACTATTCATAGACGGATCACAGAAAGGGGGCTGAGGTCACGAACGCCCCTTGCGCTGACTACCATTGACCTCTGTACAATGTCAAACCCGTTTGCAGTGGTGTCAGGTTCATTCGCACTGGAATGTCACTGACTGGAGTAGAATAGTCTTCAGTGATGAGTGCCACTTTGAACTGAGCCCGGATGACCTGCGAAGGCGAGTCTGGAGTCTGGACAGCGGTGTGCAGGCCGACAACCAGGAGTATTGATCTGGGGTGCCATTTCATTTCATAGTAGGAACCCTTTGGTTGTCATCCGTCGCAACCTTACAGCACAGTGTAAGTCAACGAAGTTCTAAGGCCCGTTCCGTTGCCCTTCATGTTACGCCACCCTGGGCTCTCATTTCAGCAAGATAATGTCCCCCCTCAACACTGCACGTGTTTCTACTGCTTGCCGAACATTACCTTGGCCAGCAAGGTCACCGGATCTCTCTCCTATTGGAGCATTATGGGAAACCCCCCCAACCAGCTCAGGATGTTGGTGATCTAATGCATGAGTTGGACAGAATTTGGCATGATATCCCTCAGGAGGACATCCGCAGCTTCTATCAGTCGATGCCAAGCCAAATAACTGCTTGCATAAGGGCCACAGATGGACAAACGCGTTAATGACTTTTTCACTTTGTAAAGCTCTATCACTTCAATAAATCATCCAATTTTTCTCAAACTTCAATCATTTGTTTTTCTGTAATTGTACATCACTTCTACCGATTTTCGATAACTCCTTTTTGGTGTGTCTCTTTTTTTTTTTTTTTGTCTTGTCTAAGAGTGCGTATAACATTATTTTATATATATATATAAAGTCATACATATTTGTAATATATATTATTATTAAAAACACAAAGTAAAAAATTAAGAACTAATATTTCACAAAGACCAGAAATTGAAAGTCAGTTGAAAATTATAATCCAAAATGTTGCATCATAGATTAAATTGGTTAAAATAATAACGAAAATCTCCAAATAATTCATGGTATATGTTTATAATAAGCAAAACACTGAGTCGAGAGCCGTCACTGCTTTGTAGGCATGTTACTGATGCAGATTCCACAGGTTGGGAGAAACTTGTTTGGAAATATAATGCCTTATATACCGTAATTTCGGGAAGAAAGGCCGCATCAGCGTAAACACCGCACTCGAGAAAAATGGCGGGAAAAAAATTAAAATTACACAGAAACGCCGTGTCAGCAATAACGCCGCAATAGATTAAATTGCGCGTGACATCGTCGTGGGCCGTATAGATGCAAAAACTCAACCTAAGTCCTCATATATGACATACCAGTTAAGAAAAATGCATGAAATGAAACCATAACTCAAAAATAAGTTAAAGGTAAGAAATGTGGAAAATATATTTATCTTCACGTATATACTTATATTACCCACTAAAGAAGTCCATATTTGTAATACTCAGACTATATTATAAAAAATATTGCAACAACGAAATATTAAATTTGGATGACAAAAGGAAATTTTAAATTTTACTTACGAATTACAGCAAACTATACATTATATGAAGCCATCAAAATATGATTCTTCACTATCTGAATTAAAAAGATTTAGTAAATCCTGATCTAAGTCTTCCAGATCGTCTCATTCATCCTCTTGGTTTACAGTCTCTTTATCTAAGGATATAATTTCAGCTTCTTTGAACCCTGCTATTATTGACGATGTTTCTACCGATTTCCACGCACTTCCTGCCCACTTTGCAATTTCTTCATAAGATGCTTTACGCATTTTACCGCTTTTGGTTTACGTATGCAATCCTTCACTCATCCAACACTCCCACCGCTTTCGGACTTCAGCTTTGAAAGATTTATTACCTGATAAATATAATGGTTGTGAGATTTTTGTCAAACCACCAGGAATTATTGCTTTGGTCGTAGACAATTTTTGACATCTGGTTTTCACTGACTCAAAGAAATGAGCACGCATGGAATCCATTATGAATAACCCCTTTGGTTGGAAAAAAGATCCCATACGACACTGCCAAACTTTTTGTAGCCACTCGTGCATGATTAAATAATTACGTCATTAGGAAAATCTCTCTTCGGAATAGTCTTTCATTTAAAAATGATCATCGGCTTTAGCTTGCCACCATTTGTGGCACAAGCTAACACACATGTAAATGACGTTCTTTCATGCCCTGTCATAAACACAGGTACAGTTTTTGCACCAGTTTCATCAACAGTTCTGTTTGCAGGAGAGTCGAAAGCTAATAGCGTTTCTTCCATATTTATTATCTGCGACCGAAGAATTTTTTTTTTTTTTTTTTTGTGTGTGTCAATAATAGCTGTCACATATTTTAGAAAAAATGACTTTTTATCCTGCCAGTCCATTGGTAATTGTTGCCCGGTTGTTGTTCTAGTACGTAGAGAAATATTTTTTCTTTTCGTAAATCTGCTACACCTCCTTTGAAATCATTTATGTTCATTCGTTTTGCTATAAATTTTGTTTGTAAGCGAATTTTTATAATCGAAATTGCCATTCCCTTTCCTTGTGCTCCTTTATCCAGTTTGCAAAGTCGTCCTCTAGATTTGGCCACCTTACGGTACCACTTCTTTTGGCTCGTTTCTGTTGTGGCATATTTTTAAGTTCTTCTTTTTTCAGTTCTCCAACGTCGAAAACATCTGTCGTCCACTTCAAACTTTCGAGCTGCTGCTTGATTTCCAGTTTGTTCAGCACGTGAAATTACATTAAGCTTAAAACCAGCAGTATAGCTTCTGTGCCGTTTAGGGAAATTTTCAAAAATTTTCCGCTCTCTTCTTACTTAAAAACTATCCGACAAGTACTTGTACCCAAACTGATGGGATCTGTATCTGGCAGAATGCCAAGAAAAATCCATTCATGCTGAAGGGGAAATACGTCAGAGTTTGTTATTGCGAGGCAGGTGGAGTCGTGTCCGCCTTTGAAAAAAATTGCAGAAAAGGCAGGGATGGGGAGAGGATGGGTCCTGGAAGATTCATCGAATGGCAGAGGAGAGAGACTATTCAAACTGATGAGAATGTTGATTTGAAAGGGGGAAGAATGTTATTGTTCTGAGATCTCGTTTAGGGTGAATAAGGCATGTAGGTCTGTTCAAGGGAAAGAATATAAACAAAATAACGTTCGCGAAAAACAACTGAGTGGTCTTTTGTGTGGGAACAGCACCAGTCTATGCACAATGACAAGGCCATCCAAACTATGTACAATGAACATCATAGGAAATATTTTATTTTTAGTGCATCTAAACGCCGCATGGGTAGAAATGCTGCACCCACTGTTAAGTTTAAAACTAACGCTATTTAAGTTTTAAAAACGTAAACGCCGCGGCGTTTCTTCCGGAAATTACTTTAGATTAGCCTTTAGAAACTTCTGCTTATCAACAAAATATAATCACCAGATGGCTGTTTTGGTATTTTCAGGGAATGGAGTATGCATAAATATGTATTTTGAAATGAATAAAATTTATGAATGAATATTTTGAAATAAATTTATAAATAAGGTAAAATATTCAAGGAGAAAGAAATTTTCTATAGTTAAATATATAAATTTTATATATCTATCTTAAATAAATTTGCTATCTTATATGATATTTATCTTGAATAAATTTGTTATTTTAAGCAAATTTATTTAAGATAAATATTTATCAGTATGCTAAAGCTGTAAATAATGATATTTGAATACTTACGAATTCATTCTACGGAAAACATTTTATTTTTGAAGAAAATTTATTTTGTTTTTTATTACATTAGTAATAAAGCTAAGTTAGAATTTTAAATTACATGCAATAATTTTAAGCAAAAGGTATGTTTTTACAAAATCATCACATTTAATAATTTTATTTTTATATTTTTAGAGTTAAAATGAAGTTGTTTACATCTCACAATAACATGACTAACTATGCAACGGTATGGGCTTCTAAAACAAACTTGGAGCAAAGAAAGGGCAGAGCTGGTCGTGTAAGGGCAGGTTTTGCTTTTCGTCTCTGCAGCCGTGCTAGATTTGAAAAGTAAGCCTTACCGATTTTTTAATTATGAATATTTCATCTGGTGATAGAATATTTTTCTCTATTTGAGTGTTATTATCTACTTATTTAATAAATAAAAGCATATAATTCTCTTTCTTTTCTGTGTACATGTATTATATTTTTGCCCATATGATTTTGAATTTATTGAAATGGTATGCAAAAAATGCCAATATTTTTCAAAGGTTGAAATTGTAATTTTATGGCTGATTTAATATTTTAAATTTTAGCATACATGTCCTAAACAAATTGAAATTCTTCTCGATAGATAGCACATAAGCAGTCTGAAGCAGTGCTTATGTGCAGATAGCTCATAAGCAGTGTGAGTAGTTTAAAAATAAAAGAAAAATTAACAACTGGCTATTTGTACATAATAAGTTAAAGACATTAGTATTGGTAATATATGTTGGTGTATGTGCCCAGTGTTATAGATTCATAGATCTTGGTATTTGTAGCATTTTACTGAATTAAGTCTCCTTTTATTTTCAGTGAAATCAATTTCCATGACTCCATTATCCATTTACACTTTTTTTTTTTTAACTGTAAACTAGATCATTGTTATTTTGCAAGTTGTTGCCTTCAGTCATCTGCTGTCAGTAAAATCTTTTAATGCCATTTCTGTAATGTTTATTATCTGACATATGTCAAGATTGTAACCTAGAGGAATAACAGCCATATCCATTTATCTTTTGTATCTTTTCCTTTTATGTGGTCGCCTATCAGCAACTGAGTAGTAAAATCACTGAGCATTGATAATAGTTCAGTCTAGTTTCAAACCCTGTGAACAGGCTGGCTTCACAGGAGTTTTCATGTTTTTTTCAGTGGCTGTTGTGAATAGAAGCCCATAGACTCCAACTACTACGGATTCTCCGTAGTTTCTACGGAAATTCATGAAAAACTACGAGCTACGAAAAGTATGGAAAAAACTACGGATTTTACAGAAACAAGAGCAGGAGAACCAGTACGCAAAACGGAACCATCTAATTCATCCGATGATTGGCTGAATACTTGTGTTATCATATATCATGTGTTGAGTGCGTTCCTAGTTTTGAAGAATTAGCCAGTCGTAGATCAGTAACTCCAACCGTTAACGACTTATCAATAGTTACCCCACAACATATCTCTACCAAAGAATTTGTATTGTACATAGACATTCTATGTCTCTACTTTATCTGTCTCCCAGGTTCCTTCGCTGCTATGCGTGTTTAGGCTGCATTCGGCTCCATTGTTTAGTTTACGGCGAGAGCTTAGCGTGTGTCTTGTGAACTGTGAATCAAGGTGAAAGTTTTTTTAATCATAATGCTGCCTCGAACGAAGAAGCCAAAATTATCAAAGCAGAAGTTTAAAGATTCATATTCTTCAGAATTTCCATGCATTAAAGCGTCCGAAATTTCTGTGAATCACGCACACTGCAGTGTATGCAACAAAGACTTCTCTGTTGCTCATGGCGGAAAAGATGACTGTAAACGGCATGCGTTTTCTCAAAAGCATATAGAACTTGGCACCGTAAAATCTAAAGAAATAACAAATTTCTTAATAAAAGATGATGAAACAGATCCTATAAAAGCCGAATGCTATTTTGTTCGTTTTTTAATTGAACACAATCTACTGCTTTCTGTTTCGGATCATTCCAAAGAGCTTTTCAAAGCAATGTTTCCGGATTCTGCCATAGCAAAAAAATTTAGCTGCGGTCATACCAAAACTGCTGCTATTGTGAAACGCTTGCAGAAAATACTGTTGCTGATATTATAAATCAGTGTGCAGTACATCATTTTCTCTAAGTACTGATGGAAGTAATGATAACAATGATAACAAACTGTACCCCATTGGTTAACATACTACAGTAAAGAAAAGGGAGTGATAATTACTTCATTGATTTCTATTTTAGAATGCACGAATAATACAGGAGAAGGTATTTTTAATTGTATAAATGAAAACTTTAAAAACAAAGGTTTAGAATGGAAAAATTGCTTATCATTTTCTTCAGATAATGCTAGTAATATGATTGGAAAGTTTAAAGGTGTAGCATCATTTATCAAAATGCGTCAACCAAGTATAATCACCCGAGGTTGTCCGTGCCACCTCTTGCATATAGCTGCAAAAAAAGCTACTGAAAAATTAATTGGCTCAGAAATTGAAATGTTGATAATAGATATATATTTTTACTTGGAGAAAAGTTCGAAACGGAAGCATAGCTTCAAAGTTGCTCAACAAATTTTGGGACAGAATCAAAATCTCATAAAACTTTGAAATTTGGCAGTACGAGATGGTTGTCTCTTTTAGAATCTATAACAAGGATTTTGGAAACAGTGGGATGCTGTGATAAATTTTTTTGGAGATAAACCAGATAACAGTGAGAATGAAGGAAAGAGATTGCAAAACATTAAAAAATTTTTACAGTCACCGACCACCAAATTGTACTTGTTATTTTTGAAAATAGCTTGCCTTTGTTTATAACAGTAAATATTAATTTGCAACAAGAAGCTCCTTATATACATAAATTGAGAAGAGAACTTTTTGAACTTTTAATGAATTTATTTGTTAGATTCGTAAAACCATCAGTAATTTCTAAAGAAAATGAAGATGTACTCTAACGTCTATTCCATTTCAGAAGTATAGTAAACAAAAAGAAAATGAAAATTTAGTGATTGGTGCGGAAACAAGACTATATTTAAAAAATGCCAAGTTGAATGAAAGTGAAGTGAAATCACTTTTCAATTCTGTGCAAGCTTTTTTTGTAACTGCATGTTCATATATAATTGATAAATTTCCACTGAGTGATCCATTTCTAAAACATGCTGAAGTTGCTGACATCAACTTGAGAACTGAAGTCTCATTTTCATCTGTTCTTTACTTGATGAATACTTTTCCATCCATTATTGATGAAAAATGTCTTAATCAAGTAGAAATTGAATTTTCCATGTATCAAGTACATGATTTGAAAGAAATTGTAGATTTGCGTATTGATATAGCATGGGAGAAATTGCCAAATTAAAAAAATATGAATGGGTGTATTAAATACAAAGTATTGCCTTCTGTAATGCTTGCTGTCTTAATAATACCTCATTCAAATGCAGCTTACGAAAGAATTTTTTCTATTGTTAAAAAAATCAGACAGAATTTCGACCAAATTTAGGTCTTAAAACTCTTGAAGCAGTTTTGATTGAAAAAATAAATATGCAGGCAAATGAAAGACTGTGTTATAAAAAAAACATTCTCAAAATCAGAACTTAAGCTTGCTAAGCATGCTACATATAAATCTTTGCATTCATAAATTATGCGTATTTTGTTTAATACTTATATGTATCATTCTTGGTTATTTAAATTTTATTTCCCTGTAGAAATCATATCCAGAATAAAGATATGATTTATAGCTTCTGATTTTTTCTATGATTAGTAGTGATTTGAAGTACTTTTTATTAGTGAATGCTTGAGGAGTTAAAAGAAAATTTCTAATTAAATGTGCATATAATTTACAAGGTATATTTTTAATTATTCAGTTTTATATGTATATGGATTTTAAATGTAATAAAATTGATTACAATTAATTATTAATTTAAAATTAATGAATGGTTAATTACAACATACGCTACGCGCACATTTTCAAAGTTGTAAAAATGTCGTTCGCGCGTTGACTACTGACAAGGTTTGCTGAAGGTTGGAGTCTATGGAAGCCACACTCTCTTAAGAATCCTCCTTTAGGTTGATAGCCAAAGTGTGCTTTACTGTAATCCAATCCAATCTTGTCTTTATAGATTCTGTGTCTAATGTAAATAGTCGTATACTTTTTATACCAGAAATACCTGGTATTTTTTTTCCTTAAAATATTTCATGAGAATTAGAAAATGAATAATGCATGTGAGAATGCTTTATATGGTTACAAAGTTGCCAACTCTCCCGATTTTCGACCGCTCTCCCGACAACCGGATTTACAATATATTTCTCTCGACTTTTTCTTATTCTTAAAATTTCTCATGATTTTTTTGGAACTTGGCTTAATACTTTTTTATATGAACCCAAAAAAAAAAAAAAAAAAAAAAAAAAAAAAAGGATTTTGGACATCTGAAAACAATTGAATTTTCTCTGGATTATATCTAAAACAAAACCTTGGGAATCAGATAACTTCTGCTTTGTGAGTGAGAGCATATACGTATCCAGAAACGTTGTTCTCCAGTTCTCCAATGGGTATCGAGCTCCACCGCATGTCATCTGGCATATATTAGCCAATGAGGACAAAGCAAGCTGTTATTTAGGTGTTCTTTAGTTATTTTGTTAATTTTGTCCTGAGTTGTGTGAGTACACGTGCCTTCAAGAAATAGTTTTAGAAGTTATCATCTTTTGTTATGTCTACGAGAAAGGTGAAATGCTCGTGTACGTTTCAAAAATCGTACACAGTTGACTTTCCTGCCATTATTTCCTCAAGGAAATGTAATAAATTTGTGATGTGTTTTTGATATTTATTATTATCTTGAAAGGCGTTATAAAAGGAAGGAACAATTGAAATGGTTCCAACAATGCATAACAGCAGTTTACAGCTAGAAAACTTGGATGAAGTTATAAAATCAACTAGGATTGACACCCAATGGAGTTTTTAATTGGAAAACTGAAAGGTGCTGATGGAATTTTAAAATATAGTGAACGGTCTAGAATTATGTTGGCCATCTTGACAGTTCCCCATAGTAATGCAGAGTATGAGAGGATTTTCAGTGTTGTTGCGAAACTGAGGACTAAATTTAGATCTAATATTAGTGGTGACACATTAGGAAAACTTTTATTAGCGAAAGCAGGCCTACGTGGCAATTGCTGTGAACAAAATTATGAAGTTTCTTTCTTAAAGAAAGCAAAATCTGCCACTGTTTATAACATTTGTACAAAAACTGAAATGTCTCTTTTTTTTTCCCCCTCTTAAACGATGCAAGTAATAAAAATGTTTCTTATGTGTAAGATATTTTTGTGTTGCTTGCATTTAAGAATTAGTTACTATTTAAAGTTACTTCATTATTAAAAACTATATTTTTATCATTTAAAAAGTCTTTTTAGCATTGTGAAAAATCTCCTAATTTCTTAAAAAATTCTCCTGATTTTTGAGTGTCATAGGTTGGCAAGTATGTGATTAAAACAACATACCACTTTTGATTAAGGAAATTGTTGCCTCTTCTTTCTTTTGTTTGATATATGAGGCCATTTAATTTGAAACATCCTTGATTTTTGTAGTTTCAAATATTTACTCCCTTCATTTGCCACTTATTAATATACGAGGGCTATCCAGAAAGTAGATTACGTTTTGGAATAAAAAAATAAACAAAGTATAGGAAACAAATTTTATTATATACAGATGAAAGCCACACTCAAATACTACTTTTCTACATAGTCACCATACAAATTAAGGCATTTATCGTAGCGATGTACGAGCTTGGAAATTCCTTCGTCGAAAAATTCGGCCGCCTGCGCCTTCAACCACTTCGTTACCTCTTCTTGCAGCTGTGCGTCGTCATCAAAACGCTGCATAGCCAGCCACTTCTTTCATTGCTGGGAATAGGTGGAAGTCGCTCGGTGCCAGGTCGGGGACTGTACGGCGGATGAGGAAACAACTCCCACTTAAAAGATTCAAGAACTTTACGAGTGACATTTGCCGTGTGGGGCCGGGCGTTGTCGTGAATCAACAAGATCTTAGAGCTCAACATTCCTCTGCGCTTGTTTTGAATTGCTCTTCTGAGTTTTTTGGAGAGTTTGGCAATACCTTTGAGAGTTTATTGTAGTGCCTCTTTCCAGGAAGTCCACCAAAATTACACCTTTTCTGTCCCAAAAAACAGTTGCCATCATCTTCCTTGCCGACATTGTTTGCATGCATTTCTTGTGTTTTTGGGGAGAACTTGTGTGCCCCCACTGCATTGATTGCAATTTCGTTTCACAGTTCACATGTTTCACCCATGTTTCGTCACCAGTAACGATGCGATCGAGTAAAGAGTCACCATCCTTATGGTAAGCGTCCAAAAAGTTCAACGCTGCAGCCATTCGCTGATTTTGTGGTCCTCTGTCAAGATTTTTGGAATCCATCTTGCACAAAAACTTGTGGTAACCAAGCTTTTCGCTGATGATTTCGTGCAACAAACTTCGCGAAATTTGTGGAAAACTCAAAGAAAGTTCCGTTATTGTGAAATTTTGATTTTCACTGACTTTAGCATCGACTTTTTCGAGAAGTTCGGCGGTGACTATGCTGGGTCTCCCACTTTGATCTTCGTCGTGAACATTGGTTCGGCCATTTTGAAATCTTATGACCCACTGACGCACTCCACCTTCAGTGATAATGTTGTCCCCATACACTTCACGAAGCTGCCGATAGATTTCTATCGGTTTACGGTTTTTTTGCAGTCAGAAACCTTATTACTGAGCGCACCTCGCAGCTCGCGGGATTTTCAATTAACGCAGACATTTCAAACCGTCACAGTATCTGAACGGAGCACAGCACGAACCTCTCACTAGCACGGCTAGATGCAGACTGAGCTGCGCAACGCTCTGACCCCAAGATGGCCGCGCTAGCCCCGCCCCTAGCGGACACAGACGGAAACGTAATCTACTTCCTGGATGGCCCTCGTATTTGGATAAAAGCATGTTATTTTAGATGACATTATACACTCAAGTTGTGATTATTTCATATTGGATTTATCACTGTTGATTATTACTCAATTTAAAAGGAAAACTCTGTTTTCCTGTAAGTAATACAGCCATTTTCTTTTCTGGATATGGATTCTCATGCAGATTCTTGGCCTAGATAAATGATAAGAGCATTAAACCAATTGTCTGTTCTTAAAGAGATAAACATTCTGTGATTCATTTTCTTCAGTTATGTTCACTATTATATGTGTGTGTGAAATTTCATAACGTAAGCATGTCACCTTGAGCAGGTTTTTTTTTTTTTTTTTGACTAAAATAATTTATCTTGAGCTATTATTAGTAAATTTCTTTATTCTCAGACTTGCATTGGAATCCTTTAAACTACCTTATGAATAATACTTTTTAAATGAATTTGTCATTTTGAATTTTAATACATGACTTTCAAAGCTCCCTTTTTTGCTTTTTCTTTTTTCTAATTTCTAGAAATAATTGTTGGAAGTTTTTTATCCTCCATGATTAGCATGTAAAGGTCTGTTTTAATTTCTCTATTAATGTGGGATAATATTGTTCTATTGCTGATTGTGACAATGCTTAAATGGGTTAATGAATGCTATGAATGAATTTTAAAATAATGTAATGGAACTATGTGGCAGCATAACATCAATATAAGACAGCAGCAATTTTATATTAAGATTTTTTTTTATTACCTCCATATTGATTTCATTGTGTAATATTTGTTCTATTGCTGATTGTCACAATGCTTAAATGGGTTAATGAATACTATGAATGAATTTTAAAATATTGTAATGGAAATATGTAGCAGAATAACATCTACATTACATTTATATTAGTTTCATTGTGTAATATTTGTAGGATGGACAACTATACAACTCCAGAAATATTTCGTACTCCTTTACATGAAATAGCACTAGCTATAAAACTGCTTCGGCTTGGGGATATTGGCAAATTTCTTTCTAAAGCTTTAGAACCACCTCCAATTGATGCAGTAATTGAATCAGAAGTTCTATTAAGAGGTAAGTAAACTTTTATATTCTTATAATTTTTATTTAAATATTTCTCGGTAGAAATATTCCATAGTTACTTGTATATATATCCTACCCTCTTTCTGTGTAATTTTACATCTTGCAAATTAGAAAAAATGTATATAGTTTCTGAAAAGAAGGGACTAAAGAACTTATGAGATTAAAAAGGTCATATACCGTATATGGTTAAAAATTATTGTATTCTACATTTTAAAGTTACTAGTTTCAGTACTATATGCTGTTCAGTTACTACTTTCATTACTATGTGCTGAAAAAGCTAGAGATGAGAAATATGTGAGTAAATGGGATAATATACCTAATGGTTTGTAAATAACATTGGATTTATTTTGACTTGAGTAGTGTGAAATCTTGTCTGATCCTAGTTATTCTAAACTGTATTCAAGAATATATGCAGTATAAATTTCTTTCAATGTTGTTTCCTATTCTGACCAGAAGCAGAGGCTTATTATCATATTATCATAAATGTAAAAATACAACTAATTTTTATCCAGAATACTGAGAAAATTTCACAGAAAACTAAAAAGTCGCTTTGCTGCTGCTGTGTAAATATAAAAAATTTCATGTATCAAAATTCTTTCAGTTTTGTTCCTAATTTTGACCAGAAGCAAAGGCTTAATATGAAACCGTCATAAAATATAAAATTATGACTAATTTTTATCCAGAATATTGATTGATTATCAAATATCTTCAAAATTAGAGTTTTATGGGATTTTGTAAACCCTCCTAACCACAAAAAAAAAAAAAAAAAAAAAAAAAAAAAAAATTGTTTTTGTTTGTTGTGAAAATTTCACAGAAAACTAAAAAAATCACTGAATAGAATTTCGCTGCAGCAGTGTAAACATTAAATTATATGAGCTGAATATATTAGTGGAAAAATGTAAAGGAAAGTAAAGGTTGGTGGGAAAAAGTAAAGGAATAATTATAAAAAGATGTTGTATGTTAATTATTTTTACAAGTCCTCCTAAAAGTGATTGGTAGCTCAAAATCAACATTATTAAGTAGTTCAGTGGGGCTCAGCTTTGCTATGCAGGAATATGCAAATTTTTGCAAATGTTTTTTCAGCACACTTGGAAATGAGTGAAAGGGGGTGCTTCAAGTTTTAATTTCATGTACTGTATGGGTAGCTGGATGAAATTTTTGCTTGTAGAAAGTGGAACACATTGAGAAAGCATATGACAGATTGAAGAATGAAAGCAGAAAAGGGACTTAATGGATCTGAAAAGATGTAAAAATGGCCAATAGTATCATGTTAAGAATCTGTAAATGGCTTAAAGACATTGGTAAGGTAAGCAAACAACAAAATCAAGGTTTAAAAAAAAAAAAAAAAAAAAAAAAAAAAGTGCCATAATAGATTCTTATGACCATTATTTATCAATGATTGATGATAGAAATAAGAAACTAATGTCAGTCCAGATTGCAGGGGAGTTCACTGCAGCTATATGAACTTGAGTCTTTAGGTATAAGAATGATAAGCCGCATGATGAGTGTGAGTAATGAGTCTCATTTTTTGTTTGGACAGCAGTTTAGCGGTGTTTGGACAGATGAGGTTCTGCAATGAAAGCGCAAAAACCAATGACGTTTGATGAGCTAGACACGGTATTGACAGTGGGTAGCTCAAGTTCGAAAAGAGGGTACTCTTCTAAATGGTCCTATCATTGCAGCGAAGGCAAAAACCTTTTTTGAGTTATTAGGTCTGAAAGGAAATTTTGATGCATCTTCTGGCTGGCTGACTCGTTTTAAGCAGCGACATGGAATTCGAGAAATCGAATTTCATGGGGAGAAACTTAGTGGTGACCAACAAGCAGCTGACGATTTCCACCATGAATTTGAAGAATTTGTTTTAAAAGAAGAGCTATCTTTTGAACAAATTTACAATACCGACGAATCGTGACTTTTGTGGAAATGTCTTCCCACTCGCACTTTAGCATTTGAAAGTGAAAGTAAAAGGGCGGGTCATAAAAGCAGCAGGGAAAGGATCACTATCATGTCTTGCAGTAACGCTACCAGTGGACATTAACTTAGACGTGTTGTCATTGGAAAGTTAAAGAGATCTTTCAAAGGCACAAGGGTAGAAAATTTGCCCGTTGATTACTTTAACCAAAGGAAGGATTAAAGGATGGATGAACAGAAACATTTTTTAAGAATGGTTTGAAAAAATCTTTGTTCTTCAAGTGCGTAAACATCTTAAATCGGAAAACCTACTTGATAAAGCTGTGCTATTGATCGAAAACGCATCTTCTCACCCAGCAACGAGTGTGCTAAAGTTTTCTGATGGACAAATTTTTGCAAAGTTTCTCCCTCCAACCATTACTGCGCTAATCCAACCCATGTACCAAGGAGTCATTGCAACAGTGAAGTGAATATACCCAACCAAGCTGCTAATGACCAAAATTGAAGAAGGTTATGATCTGAAAGAGTTTTGGAAACACTACGCAATCTTGGCAACATCTACGTCATTGCATCTGCATGGGACTTAGTGAAACCGTCAACCCTCATAAAATCATGGAGAAAACTTATGCCTAATGTTGAAGCCAACAACAACCTAACCCCTTTGAGTTGTGAAGAAGAGAATGAAGATGTTGACATGCCCTCGTCAACTCTTGCCGATATGGTGAAAACAGTTCCGTGGCCTCTAACGCTTGACAGATGACGAAATTGTGAAAAAAGCAAGGGGAGAGACCGAGAATGAAGGACAGCGATGTGAAGGCGAAGAAGAGCCCATTGTGCAGATGTGGAAGACTCAAGAAGCGGCTCTGCAACAAGTCGACGGACTGCTGAGCTATTTGGGAGAACAAGACGACGCGGAGTTGGCCGAGAAACTTGTTACGAAAAATGCAATCTCGGATCAAGAGAAAATGCTTCCAAAGCAAGAAGCAAACACAAATGACTGATTTCTTCAAAAAGGTGTAGTTTTACAGTTATGCTTTTGTAATTACATAATACATTACAATATTAAAACAGTACATACATATTAATTTTCTGTGTATCCTTGACGCCTCTCGTAAGTATACAAAGCACTTTTCTATTTTCATTAACAAAATGCATTTAACGTTAGTTTTGAGTGATATACTAAAATATTAAGCGTTAGTTAAGCATTTCTTGCTATTTATTTTACGTTTTATTGCACATAAAACGATTTTTCAAAGTTGGGATGACTGTTTTCTCTTTTGCTATACCCGTTTTTAGCTTTTTTTCAGATTATCCGCAATTTTTGTTATCCGCGGCGGCCACGCCACCCAATTCCTCAGATAATCGGGAGTGTACTGTACTTAAGTGAAAAATCATACAAGTTATACGAATCTTGTGCCTTTCATTTTTTTTCCAGCAGTGTACTGCAATTCAATATCTAGAGCAGTTTTGTAAGTTGTTAAATATGGGGCATATATATGATAGAACATGTTTCTTAATTAAAGTACTATTAAGAGAACTTTTATTTTTGAATGCTGGAATTGTATTTATTCTTCATATCATAAAATGATCAACAAAGCTAAGATCAGAGCTTTCTTACTGAAATCAGAACTTTTATGTTACTTTGGGATAATCAATAGTATTCAATCAAGAAAAAATATGTTAAAGGCTTTAATTTTGTAACTATGTTATCTAAATGTGCATGTTGAAGTATTTGGATATTTTCTCATATTCTACACTAACTTACTAAAGTTTTTAAAATCAACTTCTCTACATAGCTAGAATATTTTAGATATTGTTAGACTGCTATCACACGTCGGTTTGTTTCGAAAGAACAACTGTTTGGAACAATTTTTCTGCTTTGTCATAACAGCCAATCACCACAGCTCGCTTTGGGGTTAACACGGGGGAAACTGGTTCTCCATTACAAACAAGCTAACAGCATTCGGCGTTGATAGCTGATTAGTTGAAAACGAACAACTTGCAACTTTTCTCAAAAGGAAGGAAAAAGTCACACGTCTTTCTTTCAATAGTAAACCAGGCAGAAAAATTGTCTGAAACAGTTGTTCGTGTGAAACAAACACCGTGTGATATGGGCCTTATGAAATTTGTACATAGATAGATGATTTTAGTGCAATTATATGTGAAATTGTTAGCTCAAACGAGCATTAGCCCAGGAGGGCTATTAGTCTCAAAACGGCATTTTGCGCCAGTTCACTACAAACAGCACATCACTTTTTAAATTGTTGGCCATTAACTATTAATTATTATCACTCTATATTATATTTTAAAGAAATTAAGTACTGAAGAATCTGCATGAATGTAGGTATGCTTCTTAAATTGTGAAAAAACCACGATATGTAGAGGCATCAGATTTTGGCTAATGTAATCTTCCACCTGAACATGGGCACCTGGAAGTCTGAATTTTGAATATGTTTTATTGTCTATTTCATATTTTGTTAAACGAATTTGTGATTAAGAAACTCAACGATTTCAAAGCAAGCAGTGGCAACACTGTACGAAAAGAAAAACATTTGTATCTGTAGCACATGAGATCGTGTATCGGAAATCTAAAGATATGCTGTTTTTAAATTACTTTGTGATACTGCTGTTGAATTTAAGTGCAAAGAACATGATATTTAATAAATAAAGGCAACACGCAAAACGTTAAAAACGCCGCTGTAATGCCCATAACCCCAGGAGTAGGAAAAGCCTGGCCGGAAAAAATAATTAGTGCGACAGAGTTATTCCTTGCGAGCGCTGGGTGGTTTGTTGGACAGAAGTAATAAAAAAAAAGTGGAGAGGAAGAACGAGAAGACCAGTGAGAGCAAAAGGGACCCTGGAGGTTGGAGAAGGTCAGATTTTTTATGGCTGAAGGACCGTCGTCTTTTTTTTCTTTTTTTTTTTTTTTTTTTGTTAAGCAGAGATTATTTTCTCATCCAGCAGAGACAATGCCGGAATTACCTATCCATGATTGTACCTATAATATATAATAAATAAGAATTGTTTACTTATTAAAGTCTATTGTTAAACAAACAATAAAAAGGTGTCATCTATGCATCGATTGACAGTAACATGTGTGAAGGAAATGAACTCTGTGCTATGGATAATACAATAATTCTCATTTCTATCGGTATGACTATGGCAGTCCACTAGGTATTTATTGGTGGCAGCTTTGCGATAAAGTCCTTCATCACTGGGGTGAGTACTGATTTTATTTATTTATTTATTTATTTATTTATTTATTTATTTTATTTTTTTTTTTTTGTTTGTTCAGATGCAGGATATTTTTTTTTTTTTTTTTGTTGTTGTTGTTGTTTGTTTGGGTACCGCTAAAAGGTGCAAGATTGTAAAGCAAATTGTAGGAGAATATTTTATCTGAGGTTAAATTACTTTTCATTAAGTTTAAAATTGTTCTGCATCAGGATACAAAAGTTTAGGGGAATTATAACACAGGTCAATTGAAATTCTGGTTTTGAAGCTCCGGAAATGGTGGAAGCTCGATAGAATTTAAGTGTTATATATTATAGGTATGTAAATTTTTGTATGTGTTTTTGTCGTATGAATAATTTAGTGAACTGTGTATTTGGTGAAGAGTAAGTTTCAGTGATATTTTCCTTGCTGCAGGTACTATTTATGGTTTTATTACTGTTTCATATGAAATGTAAAGTTATTCTGTGGTAAAGTACTAAAATTTGTTAAGGATTGTTGTAACATTTAAGTGACAAATGTCATGAATTTTTTTTTATATGTAGCAACTCATATAATTGATTGCAGTCCATATGTGTTATGCGTATTTAAAAGAACTATTTTAGAATAACTGGTTGTATTTGTGTACTTATTTTAAAAGAATAAATGGATGTATTGGTATACTTATGTTATAGTAAATATCAATGAAGTGTCTGGTTTTATTGCTTTGAATATTACCTTTAATATTTCATTATGGCATATTTAATGAAAGGGAAGAAGACCAATCTTGTACTTCTGGCCGATGATTTAGGGAAAGAGGTCTTGAATGATTTCAAAATGATTGAACTCAATAATATCATTCTGAGAAGTAAGAATTATGAAGAAGATATAGTTAAAGAACTATTAACTTGATTATTTCTAAAAGGAAAGAGAAGGAAAATATGGAGCTAGCCCAGGCGAAGTTACGCATAGAAAGCGAACAGATACCATTAGAAATATTAAGACTCGAAGCGGAAAACTGAAGTCTAAATTCAGAAAGCCCGAGTGGATTTAGCAATGAGTCCCAAAATTAAAAGTTTGGATGAAATTGTGAAAACTATAAAATTGCTTATGGTGAAAGGCAAGGCCAGAAGGCTGGAATTATTTTATCGACAGTCTAGAAAAGGCCCTCTCTAGTGAAAAGGTAGCAGATAATTTAAAATCTAAGGTGGTAATGTGTTTATTAGGAGACAAGGCTGTGCATCTTTTAACTTATTTAGAGGAAGAACAGTACGATGATTACGAGGCTTTGAAATCCATCACTTAAGGTTGTCTGGAAAATTTTAAACAGGCTAAAAGGAGCCTAGATGAAAATTTTTCTCAGTTTGCTACAAGATTAAATTCTATGTGGAGTTATTACTGTAAATTGAGGGGAGCGATGGATCTGGAAACTGTCAATCAGTTATTAATTGCGGATAGATTAATGGAAACGCTCGATACGGAACCTGCTACTCATATTGGTATTAAGCAGGGAGAAAATTGGTGGAAACCAAAGGAGTTAGCGAGAGAATGCGATACCTTTTTTCGGCAATTTGGAAATATAAGTGGATTTTCGGAGGGACGGTGGAAATCATTACAGACCATAATCCTTTGAATTATCTCACCAAAATGACACCTAGGAGTCCAAAATTAACGCGTTGGGCTCTCTCTTTGCAAGGATGGAATTTAAAAATCACTTATTGCCGAGGAGTACAACATCGGGCCGCAAATGCGTTGTCACAATAGGTATGAATAATATTTTTAAAAAAAAGGGGGAACCACAGATGTTCAGAGGTTCATAATTCATGTCTTAAAATACTTCTGTTGGTAAATAAAAATGTATGTTTAATGTAGAATGTATTTATGCAGTTATGTTTAGTGTAATATTGTTATTTGTTAAACGAGGGGGGGGGACTGGTAAGAAGACTTTTGTATCCTGATCGGATTTTGTTTTCTAGATACCCCCCTGCACCTAGTCAGGTATAAGGCTGAACATTTTCAGTATCCATGTCAACCATCAGGAACTTTGACATTTCATGTGAAATCAAGTGTGTCAACTAATAAACCTATGAACTCTTATTCTGGACAAATTCAGAATTGCTTATGATGAATGCTGTGTTTTATTTCTGATAAACTCTACATTATTTCTAATGAAAGCTGAATGGTTCTCTTGAACCTGTTGTAAAAATTAGCCTTAAGAGGCAAATCTTCATCTTAGTGGGGGCGTGTAATGCCCTTAGCCCCAGGAGAAGGAAAAGCCTGGCCGGAAAAAATAATTAGTCCGGCAGAGCCATACCTGGCAAGCGTTGGGTGGTTTTTTGGATGGAAGTAATAATAATAATAATAATAAAGACAACAAGAAAAAAAGAGGAGAGGAAGAACGAGAAGACCAGTGAGGGCAAAGAGAGCTTTTGACCCTGGAGGTTGGAGAAGATGGTCAGAATTTTTATGGCTGGAGGACCGTCGCCATTTTTTTTGGTTATGCAGATATTATTTTCTCATCCGGCGGACACAATGCCAAAATTACCTAACCGTGATTGTACCTGTAATATATAATAATCAAGAATTGTTTACTTATTAAAGTTTATTGTTAAACAAACAATAAAAAGGTGTCATCTATGCATCGATTGACAGTAACATGTGTGAAGGAAGTAAACCCCGCGCTATGGATAATACAATAATTCTCATTTCCATCGATACGAGTACGGCAGTCCACTACAACCGCTTTGGGCATAATATAAAATCTGAAATCTTTCTTTCTACTTTTTTTTTTTTTTTAATGTTTTAATATGAAAATTTAAAGGAGCAAAGCATGCAGGAATAGTAAGAATACAGGGGCAAGTCTATTCAACTATTGAGTCTATTGAGTAAATGGCTATCACACTAAATTGATTAGATATCACGAAGTTGGCAACAGTGTTTGTTGTCAAATTTGTCCAGAAATTGCCAAAAGTTGGCAAACTTGGCGACATTTTGTTTCGGTTCATGTATGATCATAATGGGTATTGTAATTTAATAAATGTAACTGATCACTATATTAGCTGTACCCATAATTCAGCCCTCATGTGCCTTCCAGTTGTTTCAAGAAGCAGAAAGTACTAGGAATATCTCAGTGGCTGGGGAAAACTGTATAGGACCAAGAGAGCGTCTGCTCTCAGTTTTCCTGATTTGTTAGTTCCGAGCAACTTCAGAGTATTGAAAGCTTTGCTTTTTAGGTGTGCTTTCCATTGTATTATGTTTAACGTTCTTAGTAGTGTGAAGTATATTTAGTAATTGTACTCTGTGATAATATGAACACCTGCACGATTATTTCTGTGAAAAGTTCCAGAACTCTGAACAGTTTCTTTTGATAAATAAACTTTAGCAACCTGTCATCCGGACCTGTGTGCCTTCAATCTATTACGAACCTGTACACAAACAACAATATGATGCTTTGAACTACAGCATAACTTAATATAAACAGGTCAGAATCTGCAGCATTTTAAAAACATTTTTTCTACTTATGGTAAAACAGAAACAGTTTTTTTGTTATGCTGCAGCTGTAAATGATTTTAATTGAAGAATTTTCTTTCATTCAAATGTCTTTTGTTTATTTGTGACTTTCAGACCTCTAATTGCTATTGCAATGTAAGCAATTTATTCATTTTTATATCCATACCTGTATATGTATACAATTTTACTATTTTCTGTTTTAGAAATGGGGGCTTTGGATAGATATAGTGAACTGACACCTCTTGGGAAAATTCTTGCTCGCTTACCTGTTGAACCAAGACTTGGAAAAATGCTTGTATTGTCTTGCATATTTTCGTAAGTAGCCTATAAAAAGTTCTTTTTAATTACGTTCTAATATGAAAAATAAATTTTAAACTTTTAGTATCAAAAATTTATTCTTAAAGTAATAAAATTAATCTTTTAAACTGCTAAATATTAACTGTTTGGCAAACATTTAAAATTAAATAAATTTCTACTTCAACAAAATATTCTAGATTTTAGTTAATAACTTTTTGTAATAACATTTTATTGTTTGTTGTCATACTTGCAAGTGTAGCACTTATGTTTTTCTTAACCTTTTGCTCTCCTGATATGATTGTGAGTCACTACTGAATGTATCGTAGCAAAGGCAATTCCCAGTTATCTCTGGAGTGCAAATCTTTCAAGAATAGAAATTTAAGTGTATATAAATATATTAGTAAGTTTCTATTTATTATAAAGCAATAAATTCTAATTATTATAAACTACTTTATAAAGAGAAGGAGATCAAAAAATTAAAAAATATTTAATTGAATAAATATAATGAAAAATCAATTTGAATAAAGTAGAGAATTATAAATAGCATAAAAAATGACAAACTTCCTAACATGAAGAAAGCACAAATCAAAAAACAGCATGAAACATAAACTTGCAAATCGATTCTGAAACAGAAGTAAATTAAAACAATAAAGTAAAATAAATTTTGGAAATTCTTTGGGCTTTGTCAAGGAGAGTTAAAAGAATTAGCTGATCATAATATTCACAGTAAAGCACTGCTTTCGTAAAATGGAGAAGACTTGTATTGTGAAGAGATTGGAATTTCACATACTTTTAATAGCTTCCAAATATCTAAACCTGATCCTTCTAATAGAAATATCAAATGTGAAAAATTTTTGCTCCTGCATTATACTGCACAAATTTAATAATCCATGTCCATTTTTGGATCTAAATAAACAAAATGTTGATTTTGATGATTTTTGTGTGTGTGATTCAATGTGATACTTGATAATTATTTCTGATATAAATATGCAAATAAACTTTTGAACTAAATTTTGTCATATTCATTATATATTTTGATTAAAGAAGTTATTTTAATACTGGAGTTTTTTAACGCTTTCTGCTCTTTTTTTCTGCTATTCAACTCTTGTTTTTCTAGTAATTGCTGATCATGAATTTGCAAATTTTTCATTTCAAATAGTCATCATTTTTTTAATGCTAATTTTGAGTTAACATAAAGAATTTATTTATTCACTGCTTTTCAGTAACTTAGTTTCAAGCAAAAGGCACCCTCTTAACTGGTTATTTCCATTTTGCACAAAACATGTAAACTTCTTTACATCACCAAGGAATAAGCTTAGATTTTTTTTAAATAGCTCTTATAAGGATTTATCTGGCCTCTCTCTCTTTTTTTTTTTTTTTTTTTTTTTTTTTTTTTTTTTTTTTTTTAAGATACATAAGGCATGTTTAAATGAAAAGGTACAAAATGACACTGTGAGTATGATTGAAGTTTTTATTCACAAATAATAACAGATGCCTGAGCACAACTATCTCACTGTTTCACGAGCCACAGGATTCCCTGTTCCTAGAATTCCTTGGGTCGGAATTAAGAATTAGACAGGAACCAGTTTTACACTGTGTCCGAGCTTTGTAACAGTTTTACGCTATGCAAGTGGAGACAGGAGCGGGTTTTCCTTTGTGCCAGTTTTTCATCATCCGAGTTGAATGCTTCTCTTTGAGGTGTTTTTTTAGTGGGTCAAACACATGTAAGTAGCAAGGTGGCATGTCTGGGATGTAGGTTAGATGCTCAAGCTGCTCCCACTTGGCCATTATACTGTGGGTGACCTTGGAGACTTATAGACATGCGTCATCATGCAGCATATTCACTCCATCTGTGAGTAGCCCAGGCCCTTTGCTCTTGATGGATTTGCATAGCTAAGGAGCATCTTACTGTACATATCGCTGTTAATGGTTTTTCCTTGCTTAAGGAATTTGATGAGTATCAGATCTCAGGCATCAAAAAAGACATTGATCATCACCTTGCTTGCTGAGTGCACAGCTTTGAATTTTTTAGGGTGAGGTGAAGACGCATGCTTACCTTGCATGCTTCCTGCTCTGTCTCTGGCTGAAAGTTATGCCTCCAGTGGACAACATTGGCGGCAACTCTGCTCCAGAAAAGCTAGGTCTTTAGGGTACTGGAACGGGTGTTGCAGCGTTAGCCCCATATGCAGTACCTTTTGCTCTTCGCGGAACTTCTTCGGAACTCACTGTGCTCACACCTTCCGGTATTCCAACTTGTCATGCATAATTGTTCACACTGCTCATGCAAGCTTCCCTATCACTGCCAACATTCACATTGTGACACGCTGGTCACTTCTCAGCAGGTTGTTAACCTTTTGATGAGTTTGGTCATGATTACTGTGTTTGCCTGGCCTGATCTTGGATCATCCTCAAACACTTCTGGCCTTCACGAAAATAGGCACTCTGCTTTCTCACTGACTTGTCGAACACAAAGCCTCCCTCATATGCGGCCACCATCTATTAATAAATATCGGCCAGTTTAAACCCCTTCAAAATCTGATGACACCTCACTGCTCCTTAGTTGTTGAATTTTGCACTGATGGCACCTCACTGCTCCTCAGTTGTTGAATTTTGCAGTGTCCTCACACACACTGCCACATCAATTCATCAATTAGACAGAACACACAACTGTCTGCTCCTCTCCTGCAGCAGGTGCCCACACATGCACACAACCACCCCCAACGCTATACTGCTGTCCCTAGATGTCTCACTAAATTATCCTAAAGCGGCATATTCAAATTTCAATCAGTTTGGTTGTTTCAACGTTTCGTATCTTTTCATTTGAACATCCCTCATAATAATTTTTTTTTTTAAATTCTAGCATTTCTTATAAGCTGCTAGTGATGTTATGAATCCAACAGCACATAATGGTGGCCTAGCATAAGAATTCAATTTAAGGAAAATCCTGCTGCTGAGCTTCGTTCTACTGTGTATTTATTTATCTTATCTTTTTTGAGTAAATACTCAAAAATATACTTAGAAAGCAATTTTGCTGTTGGATGGTAGACACTTATTATTAGTGTACCAGTTGGCTGGGACTGTCTTTTGTGCTTCCAGCTTGATGACTTTGACCAGTTTTCTACTTCTGCATGGCACATTGTCTTTTCAGCATTGAGGGTGAGGGATCATTTTCAAAGACCTTTAACTTTGGGTTACCCATACTTTTTTTTTGTTGATGTGTAGGAATGTAAAAAAAAAAAAAAAAAAAAAAAAAAAAGTATGTACCAACCATGTACACTAATCATCAGTTACGATTTTAGAAATAATGCAATGGTCACTATCTTTAAATAATTTTACTGATTATGACACGCTTCTCTTTTTGGTGCTCAGTTTAATTATTGGGAACCCAACAGCAAGCTTGTATCATTTCATAGGTACAGCGATTATCATCAACATCTTCTGTATGACATACACATTATCCGAGATTACGGCTAACTACGGCCTTCCTGTGTCTTCTTCATCCTGAAGAGAGTTGTGATTTCTGTGAAATTTTGTATACCATATGAATACAGTAGCACGAAATGGACCTTCATTTTGAAATGCTAATTGTAGATGTTGAACGCATTCTTCTCAATTTTAAAACCATAGAAAATCATAGTGCGATAATGTTGTCATATCAGCTCTTTTTCCTTCAGCCCAAAATTTATTCTTCGCTAAGCAACTTGGAATGGCCAATAAAAAAAAATCTGCTAGGCTAAAATAATTCATATTTTCAAATGTGACCATTAATTTTTGTTCTGCCATTTATTGTGTGCACGTATCCCAAAAATTTCAGAGTGACCTCTGTTTGTGTATATATATATAGAGAGAGAGATTACCATCTTCACTTCTGACTTTACAGCAGGAAGCTTTCATTTTGATACCAAATTAATAATTTTCTCAATTTTAGTTTACCAGAAAAATAGCTGAAAAAAGTCATTTTGATTAGCCTCTGAGTGGCATGGCCTTTTGAAGCTGATGAGGAAAATATGTGTTTAAACAGTATTTATTTAATAGATTTGTATGATTGTATTTTTATTTTTCGCCAACCTATATAAGGTAAAAGAGGTAAATATTCAGTCTGAAAATTCAGTAGTGAGTTTTCTGTGAATAAGCATGAATTAGGGTCTGCACAGCATGCGTTTACTATTTTTACAATGATGTGCATCTGTGTGACGATTTTTTCATTTGTGATAACTTGTATCAAATTTCAAAATTTTGTGTTTTTCATATTTAAACTTTCTGCATTCATAAAAGGGTTGATTAGATTTTGGGTAAAATTGGAAAACCGGAAGTGGTACTTTACTTGAAGCCCATAACATTTTTTATTGGACAACCAGAAGTGTTACTTTATTCCTTTAAAGTTTTTAATGAAAAACTATATTAAAATTACAAAACATACAATCAAAACGTTTCAGTTTTAATAAAGACTTATAAAAGTAGGAGCAACATATTAGATTTTGGCTAAAATTAATAAACTGGAAATGATACTTTACTTGAAACTCCAAACAGATTTTCATGAAATAATATATTATATAATTCAAAACTTTTCATATTTGGATTTTAACTTACATGTGCATGTACAATCATGACTAAGAACAATATATTAGATTTTGAATATATATGGTAAAACAGAACTAATACTTTACTGGGAACTGTTAAGAGATTTTTGTGGAAAAATATAGGATCACTATAATATGAATATAATCTAAAATAATGCAGCACATATTAAGGCAATTTCTTACAATATTTAAACATGATATTTATTTTTATCAAGCTATGGAAAAGAAAGATTTGTATAACAGCATTTCAGTTTACACATTTTAAAACTCTTGTTATGCAGGTATATTACAAATATATATATATATATATATATATTATTTTCTTGCACTGTTGACGATGATAAGGCACAAAAGCAGATAGCAAATTTAAAAACACTTTTTGCTTTACTTGTTGCTTCCTGATCCTGGAATGCATGGTAGTCAGTATTCAGCTTAATTAAAAAAAATTATGAGCATTATTTACTGATGCCCAAATATTTTTGGAATATATATGGAAATGAAAATGAATTTAGATTTGTTGATACTATAGAAATAACATAAAAGAAAATTGAATTCTGGTATTCATTTCAAGCTATTTATTTTAAATTTATTTAAACTATTTTTTATTTCATAAACACTTAATTATCTTTAATAAAAAACTAATTAATTTACATGTAATTCAACTGCATACTAAAATACAATTTTTAGTAAAAAGAAATAAGGGGATAAGCATTTGATTATGTTGCTATAATTTCAGAAAAATTAGGTTTTATACATGACCAATTACACTTAATAAATTATAATCCAGAATTTTGTATTACAGACCTTTCTAGTATTTATTGGATAACAAACAATCAACCAGAAGTGATATTTTACTTTTAAAGCTCATTGCTGTTTAAAAAGGTCATATACTGGACATGTCAGATTTTTTATACTTTGTTTTCACAATGTTCTGTTCAGTAGAAATAGAGTTATATATTCAAAGTAAGAAAATGAAATATATTAATTAAGGTAATATACTGAGTGACACCAGATCTCGTAATCAACTAAATGTAAACATACCACTGAAAGGATTAATAAGCTTTAGCTTCATTTAAGGCCAAAATTTTTGACACATTTAGCGTAGCATAATTTTCATAAAGTGTCTTAAGTATTTTTGTATAAACAGTGAAACCATTGTGAACATATCCACTCTCCCCCTGAAGAATCTGAACAAGAACTGAATATCTAAATTAAGTATATAATTATTTTAATTTTAGGGCCTAAATGTAAATTGGTACAGAAAGATGTTAAATTATGCAAAAAGCCAATATGCAGCAATTTCACACCTATATTTTGGTTTATACATAACTAAATTACTGCCAAAGGGCATTAGTTTCTAATATGCATATTGTTTGTCATTTCTAAGAACCCTTAAAACTATTAATTTTCTATGAAATCCTTTTCATCTTCAGAACAGTGAATGTTAAAAATAAACAAAACAGTATTTCGTGCATTTAATGCAGAAAATAAGAAATAAATCAGCATTTCATTATAAATTTATTCTTATGAGTAGTTCTGCTTTACATTATTTTAGGTAGCAGTAACAAATAACATAATAAATACCATTTGATTAATTATTTTAGATATTAAGTTTTGCAGTTCACAGAACATTTAAAAAATTCTTAAAATGTAAGTTTTGTTTTGCAAAACTCCAAGGATTATCGAAGATATTTTGAAAAATACAGCTTTAGAAAATGGTTCAAATTTCATGATTTACATGCCCAGATGAAAATGTAGCTCGTCATTAAATTCATTACTTGTACTATTAAAAATTAATATGTTTTAAGGGTGACTGTACATACATTAGTTTTATATTTATTACCTAAATATCAGTTATCACATGATTCAGCAGTTCAAGCACCCCCTGAAATGTGTAAAATCTGCCAAATTCTATTGCAGTGAATCATTATACGATAAGGCTGTATCAGCTTTTCTTAAAGAAGATCTAAAATATCTAGAATTTTATCCAGCCATGCCTTGATGTTTTGGGGGAGGGAATATCAAATATGTTACTTTTCTAAAGATCAGATCAACGATATCACAAAGGCAAGGAAAGGTACTTCAGTATATTATAGTAATGGAAGAGTGCCATAAACTTATTTTATTTATTTATTTATTTTTGAAGGGCTAAAATTTATATTTAAACGCACAGAAGTTGTTTTTGTTTAAATTGTTTTGAATGTCAATTTAGAAATAGTTCTTATAAGTGGCAAATATCGTTTTTGTATTCATTGGCCTTTAGAATATTTTACTGTACTAAGTGTATCAAAAAAATGCATGTATTTATTTATTTATTATTATTTTTTTTAAAGGTTTGGAGATCCTCTGTGCACTGTGGCAGCTCACAGCAGCACTTTCCCTGAACCTTTTGACACTCCATATCCTAAAAGATTGGCTTATGTACATAGGAAGTTCTGTGGTAGTAGATATAGTGATCATTTGACAATGTTGAATGCCTTTATTCAGTGGGAAGATGCTCATATGCAAGGGGAATATATAGAAAAATCATTTTGTGAACGCTTTTCCTTGGCTCTACCTACTCTGCGGATAACACATGATGCAAGGGTAAAGAATTGTTTTTATACTTTGTGTCTATGTTGTATATTTATATGAATGACAGAGCAACTGCTGATAATCCTTCATTTAAAACAAATATATAATATTATTTTTAAATTGTGTAATAGTTATAATAAAAGTGTGTGCAAAAAAAGTGTGGCCTGGCAGCAGCCCTGTCAATAAGGCAGCTGAATGCTAGTAGTCAAACGGGGGTTCAAAGCGAGGGAACAAACTGGCTGACTACATGGCTGTTTTAATGGTTTCTTCCCTGTGTAACGTGAGTTAATAATCCTTTAGAAAATCTTCTATGAAGACATCTCTTCCATTCAATAGTGTACTTTGCCTCAAGCAAATCCAAAACTTAAGTGTTTTTTTTTTTTTTTTTTTTTTTTTTTTTTTTTTTTAAAGTTTGCTAGTATTATTTACATTAAATTAGTAAATTAGGAGTGTAGGTTTTATGTATGTATATTTATATGAATGACAGAGCAGCTGCTCATAATCCTTCATTTAAAACAAATATTTAATATTATTTTTAAGTTGTGTAACAGTTATAATAAAATTGTGTGCAAAATGTAAAAAGGACCTCGCAGCAGCCCTGTCGATAAGACCGTTGAATGCTAGTTGTCCAACGTGAGTTTAAAGCGAGGGAACAAACTGGCAGACTACATGGCTGTTTTAATGGTTTCTACCCTGTGTAACATAAGTATGAGTTAATAATCCAGGCATGAAAGTTTCTTGCGTTTTCGCGGAATTCTGCTTTTTTGTACGTCACCCAGGCTGTTTCTGAGATCGATGTAGAACCGTTGAGAAATCGCGACCGGCAAATGTGTGTGTGTGGGGGGAAGGGGGTAAACAGAGGAAATGCTCTCTCCCCCTTTTCTTTGTAAAAAAACTTTGCATCATGCCAGAGATTGCGAAATACGTTGTTTTACATCAAGACCACGTAGATGGGGCTTATGTGAAAAGGCAGAACTAAATGAGTATGAATATCGATTCAAAGAAGAGCAAGCAACCGTCAAACGAGAGTTGACTTCAATAATTTCAGTGATCGGTGCTGGCGCCATCTGTCAGGCATACGGATAACCATTTGCATTCTCCAGTACACAAAGCTATGTAAAAATTTAAGAAATGCTCATAAACTGTACAAAGAAGAGCTAGAGATAAGAAAGGAGGAGTGAGAATCTAAAAAAGAAGCAATTAAACATTGCAGAAAATAAAGAAGAAAATAAAAATGTATCAGTGGATTTTATAAAAGCTGCTGCAAAGAAATTGAGACTAGCTCACAAACGGAAATTAGAAAAGTTGGCTGCAAATGTAGCAAAAAAGAAAAAGCTTTTTCCTTAAACATTTTTAATCAGGATCGAGTGAGACAGACAAAATAGTTATTTTTTAAATTCCTCCTTTAACTATATGTTATTTTATAACTATATTATCTCTTATGACTACTTTTTCTGGTGTTATATAAGTACTGTTTATTGAACTAAAAGTGAAGATAATTGAAAGCTACAGTAACAGTTATATATATTATATATGTAAGATATAAAAAAATACGATCGCAAATTTTCTAGAAGCTACTCTGTTACATAACCTCTTCATATAAATGCTGCGTCATAAGTTCTCCTAGACAGATGCCTTCTCATCTTCGTCCTGCTAATACCTCCACTATGCTCCTCTTTTTTTTTTTTTTTTTTTTTTTTTTTGTTAGAACGTTATGACGTATTAAAGTTTAAAGTCAGTCGTATCTAATAGTTCACTTACTGAATAAGTTATTTGAGTAACTTCATGTGGAAAAAATCATCTGCTCTAAATTAAAATAAAGATATGCTGTTAAAAGTGAAAGTCCTGAGTCGTCATTTTTCTCCGTGCTTCAATCATCCCAGCTCCGTCAACCATCTGCCAAAATGTGTAATGGAATAGCCTCACCATTCACCCACAATGTGTTGGAATAACTGAAAACATTACATATATATATTATCTCTAAAACTTGTCATTGCTTGGAAATGGGCAGTAATATATAACATAAATATGTATATTAGTGTCTTGTAATGTTGTGTACAGTATTCATGTATCAACTGTTAAATTAAGTTACATAAAGAGCATCTTAAAGAAGGTTAATTCATTACAATCTCTTGGTGATTAATTTTTTTTTTTTTTAACAAGTAGAAGATAAAATTAATAGCAAAATAGTAAGTACAAGTATTATTTTAGTTTAATTTTATGTATATGTTTAATACTTTTTATTTTAAAAGGTTAATATCTTATTAAAATGGGTTTTTTTGAGGTTGCACGTGCGCATTTATTTTTTGTGTAATTTTGTGTCTGCGCGTTGTTCAGCTTTTTTTGCCAACTTGCACTTTAATGCCTGATAATCCCATAGAAAATCTTCTATGAAGACATCTCTTCCTTTCGATAGTCGAGTGTACTTTGCCTCAATAAATGCAAATTCAAACCTAACGTTTTTTTTTTTTTTTTTTTTGTTTTGTTTTGTTTTGTTAAAAAAAAAGCTTGCCAATATTATTTATATTAAATTAGGTGTGTAGGATTTGTGCTTCTTCTCTTAAATTATTTTTACATCCTGTTTTTATTTATCTGATAAATTGTTTCAGCTAAGTTATTCCCCTCCTGATAGTTTAATTTTTTATCTGTACTAAGGATCTGAATAGATTATTTTTTCTCGCGTGAATAAAGAAAATGAGACAGTTTAATTAAAAACTTAAAAGAGATTTTTAGCTTAATTTTATTTATTTCAGTTTAATTTAGCTGGATTCATTAATTATATTTTTTCTCCTTTTTTATAATAATTATTTCTGATGGATGGCTGCACAGCTGCAAATACACTTACCAGCCTGATCTATACCAAATTAACTCTAACTTCCTCTTAGTTCTGAAATTTCTGCCAAATTTTATGCAGTTGAATTAATATAATGTTATTAACTTTCTTTGCATTTGATGTGGGGGATTCTTGTAAAATCCTTTCTAAGAATTTAGTAATTTTGTATGTTGTTAGCCTTTATTTAATATGTGTAAATATTTGATTTATTTTGTTATAAAAATTACAGAATCAACTGAAAGATCTATTGATTGCTGCTGGATTTCCTGAGCCATCCCTTGCGGCACATTCATATTATTTTGAAGGTCCTGATTCCAAATTAGATGTGGTATGCATTTTTTTTATATTTTAATTCCCAACAGTGTAATTTTTACTCAATGATGTTGAAACAGGTGTTTTTCATTAAAATGATTTTTCCATGGAAATTAGTGATAAAGTTGCAAATCGGCAAATTTTTGTTTAAAATTTCAGTAATTTGTAAAGTTAGAAGAAAATCCACACAATTAAGCACTTACAAATGATATGTCTAGCAATAAGGCACCTTTTAATGAGGTATAAAATAACTTTAGTTTTAATTTTTCAAGCATATGAAATTTTCTGGTAATTTCTATAATAATAATTTCTGGAAACTGGTAGTTTTCATTGTTTGTTAAGATTCTAAATAAGGAATATTGTGCACAAATTTAGTTTGTAGTAATATCTTACATTTGTGATTTGTTGTGCATTTTAATAAGTTTAATATTTCTTTTTTTCCCTCTTTTAAGATTGTAGCTCTTTTATCAATGGGCCATTACCCAAATGTTTGTTATCATAAGGAAAAACGTAAAGTGATCACTACTGAAGGAAGAGCTGCTCTGATTCACAAGTCTTCTGTTAACTGTACCAATTTGCCTCCGAAGTTTCCATCCCCTTTTTTTGTTTTTGGAGAAAAGGTAATTAATCAGTCATAAAATAGTGTGATATTAATTGATTTTAACCCTAGCCAAATGCAAGTGCTGTAGCATTAATAAATTGCACATGCAGCAAATTTATGTTTTGAAAAGTTAACTTTCTATGGAATGAATGTGTTAGGTTTAATTCAGATTAAGAAAATATCATATTTATGTGGGTATTTTACCCCTTTTCAATCTCCATTGCAAAGTCAGACAGTTTCTGTGACTTTTTTTTAACAATTTGTTTAACTTTTTATAAATTAAAGGCACTTTATCTTTTTCATTATCACTGCTTTCAGTGTGTGCTTCTGTTATAAGATCGAGTTCTTCATTTGTCATTTCTAGATTAGTTCTTTGATTTCCTCTTTTTCCTATATCTGAAAATTCTTTGCTGCCTGTTCCTTTTCCAGTTGGTATGGTTTCTCTGGCTTTATTTTAAATCAGTGGAGTTTTTTTAAATTGTTGATAACTTCTGACTAGATGCTAGCAAGCAGTCAGTGTTAATGAATGAATTTTGAGCCATGTGTAAATGAAATTCTAGCAATGGTCAAATTAAAAGGAAGCTATTAAGATTATGCATAAATGTGAAATCCTGTTCCTTAGATTCATGTTTGGCTGTACCTAAGATAAAATAACTTTTCATAACCTGCAAAGTGGGGTTTGGAATATTACTTTGGACAGAAAATTATGAAAGCAATTGCATTTTATTTAAATAATTCAGATTTCCAAATGCTGGGATGTGCTGGATGTATCAATTGATTTTTGGTGTAATATGGAAAGAATTGCCTTTGTGTATATGTTATATAATTTTGTACTTTTTTTTTTTTTTTTTTTTTTTGTGGGGGAGGAGGTATTTGGAAACTTTTTTCTTCTAGTGCTATCTTTTCTTTCTGCCTTGCACATTTAGGTGCTTAGCTGGCCATTAAAACATTAAAAATGCAACATTAAGAAAGCTATATTAATTAGAAACATATTTAATTTGTGCTTAAGTATGTAGTAATTACTAAGAATCCAGATATAAGGATTAGAAAGTAATCAGTATTTGAGTAACCAACTGCAATTGTAATAGAAAGCATTATAATTATAATTGTAAAGAATTTTTAATTTTATTCATCTCATTCACTTGTCTGAAATTCATTTGCGCACTGTCTGACTGAGATCTTTAAAAATAAAGTAAAACTGCCTTTATTTTGTTTGACATTAATTTGGAATTGACTTGTCATATACGATTTCTCATTTTGTGTTAAAATTGTGATTTTGTGTATTAAGGAATTTCTTTGCAATTACTGTGCGTATAATAATAAAAATGTGACAAAGTACAATGTAACTAAAAAATGAAATATATTGAAATAGAGTTGCATGCACCAGAACAATCTAGAATATAAGAAATATAATTTACATAGTAGGGCCAAAATATTATGCCAAAAACAGCAAAATGGAAAACAAAAAATATTGGGTTTGTGATACGGTAATATGGCATACATATGCAGAGTTACTAACTCTCCCGATTTAGGCGGGAGAATCCTGATTTCGGACCATTCTCCCGCCAACCCGACTTTCAATGGACTTCTCCCAACTTTTTTCTTATTTTTAAAATTTCTCGTGATTTTTAGGTATTTTGGCTTAATACTTCGTTCTTTGCACCAAAAAAGTGATTCTGGGTGTCACTTGGGTTTTTTCTAGATTACATCTGCAAGGAAACCACACTCGTTTCGTCAGTGAGAAAATATGCGAAATTATAATTATAATAGGAAAGAATTTTTAATTTTACTTATCTCTATGTTCAAAAACGTTGTGTTCTGGTTCTCCAATCAGCATCGAGTGCCAGTGTGTATCATCTGGCATATATTAGCCAATGAGCACAAACCAAGATCAAGGCTGTTATTTCATTTATCTTGTCGTTGCTCAGTGTCAGTGCACATTCTTTCAAAAAGTAGTTTCAGACGTTACAATTCTTTGCGTTAGTTATGTCTGCGAAAAAGGTAAAATACTCATGTACTTTTCAAAAATCATATGCAGATGACTTTCCTTCTGTTGTTTTCTCGAGGAAATGTAATACATTTGTGATGCATATGGTTTATCATTGTGATTTTTTGATTTCGCATGGTGGAAGGGCCGATGTTCTCAAACGCGTTCATATGCAAAAACACAAGGACAACCTGAATTCGCAGACACACAGTTGCAGTTTTGCAGTTTACGATTGGAAAACTTGGATTTGGATAAAGTTAATAAAACCAGCTAGGATTGGCACCCAGTAGAATTTAATTGGAAAACTGAAAGGTGAATTTTAAAGTATAGTGAACTGTCTAGAATAGTGTTGACCATTCTGACAATTCTCCATGGTAATGCAGAATGCGAAAGGATCTTCAGTGTTTATGCGAAAACAAGGACTAAATTTTGATCTAACATTAATAATGATGCATTAGAAAACCTTTTATTAGCAAAAGCAGGCGCACGTGGTAATTGCTATGAACAGAATTATGAAGTGTCTTTCTTAATGAAAGCAAAATCTGCCACTGTTAATAGTATTTGCAGGAAAACTGATTAAAGTATTATTATTATTTTTTAAAGATGCAAAAAGTAAAAATATTTTTTACAAAAAAGTATTTTTGAACTGTTTGCATTTAAGAATTAGAAACTGAACATTCAGATATTTGTTTAAAGTTAAGTTCGTTATTAAATATTGTATTTTTATCATTTGAAAAGTCTTTTCGTCGTTTAGAAAAATCTCCTGATTTTTGAGAGTCTTAGATTAGCAAGTCTGCATATGCATTAATTAATACATAAAATGTCCATATTGTATAATAGTTTTTGTAGTATGTATGGATATGTACAAATATATTAACCAGAAAATTACATTTGGATAAACATCTAATTTGTCTTTATAATACAATTAATATTGTATAGTCTTATTCTTCATTTTTTTCAGGCTGTAAAAGTAGACAATGATTCTGATTAGAGTTGTTTTTGTAATGGGTTTCCATAAATTAGGCTATGCTATAGCACTTTCATGAGAAATGTTTAGAATCTGCTTCCCCCCCCTCTCATAAAGACTTGGAATATGTTATATGAAAAATTTCTAGGCCCTGTAACTAGTTACATCACAAAGTGATTCATCCATTTTCTTTAGCTGAGAGCTTGGGGCAGTGTTTCAAATGTAATTCTTCTAGTTTCTGCAATCTTCCATTCATACTGCCCCTGACTAATGTGATATCTTTTTTGTTGATTTGCAGGATCGTTTCCTGCCCATAATAATATGAACTGGGAAACCTTCAAATAACTCAGAATATTTTTTGGCTATTTGATAACTGGTTGATCTTGTTTTATATTATTTTAAAGCATAAAAATATTGTTTTCACAGTATGTATGAATACTTTTACAAAATAATGATAGCTCATACCTTTCAATAAATCTTAAAAAGTAAAAGGCTAGAGATAATTTTATCAATTAAATACAGTATAAATAAAATGTAATAAAAACATACCCCCTTTTTGTATGTATATGTGTATTTCTATAACAAAATGATGGAAATTTTATTTTCAGAGATTCTAACATATTAAAACTTTATGCTGTGTAAGTTATTCACTTTTGTTGCATTCAAATATGTAACATTTTCATAAGAATTGGAAATTTCTTGCTGTTAGTTACAAATTATCAATATTTCATTCTGTCTTCAAAGTGACTTAAAATTTTGTGATAAAAAAAACAAAAGCAAAAATTCCACATCCAAGTTGGTGGCAATTTCCAAATTTTTATTATTGCAATAACAGTGCATGAAATAAGCATATTGAGTTTTAAATATAAATTTAAAAACAAATCCTTCAATTATTTTGTCTAATTTTATGTTAGTCTAGTTTTTTATGTAAATGAATAATCTAAAAATATATATAAAAATAAAGAAAAGGCTGAAAAGAGAGTAAGTAATGTACATGATAGTTCAGTACATTACTTACTCTCTTTTCAGCCTTTTCTTTATTTTTATAGATAATGAATTCAGATGTGAGTTAAATTACGTTTACTATTTTATGCTTTTAGATTCGAACCAGGGCTGTGTCATGCAAGCAGATGACAATGATTACACCCATTCATCTTTTATTGTTTGGGTGCAAGAAAGTTGAATATGTAAACGACTGTGTTCAAGTGGATCGATGGTACTTTTTATTATGTTATACATGCTTGTGAAATTAAACTTTATTGAACCTTCTACTTTGGTTTTCAATATTTTATTTATTTATTTTTTTGCTGGTATGTGGCACCATATTTTGTTACTCTATTTTGGCTTTGCATATTAGGTAATTTCTCTCAAATTGTAACTGGAATTTAATTTTCGGAAATTTTAAATTTCTTTTTAACTTGTCACTTTTAAATATTTTTCATTTCCACAATTAGGAAGCATAGGCAATAGCTTTACAAGCATACGAAGCATAAGCAATAGCTTTTTGAAGCATAGGCAGTAGCTTCATTTTGCTTTTTCTGTAATTTTAGTTTTACTAATTTGTAATAACTTGCACATTCTACTACTTTTGTATTTTAAACTGGTAATTTTTTTAAATTTAAAATTAAATTTTCTTCTTGTTTTTAAATTTTAACTTATTGTTTTTCTTTCATGTACTCTTTTTTTTTTTTTTTTTTTTTTTTTTTTTTTTTTTTTTTTTTTTTTTTTTTGTATATCATCAATATTTTCATATGAATCACATTAAAATAGGTTATATCTTATTGGTAACATTTTAAAATACTTTAAATGTCCATTTAAAATGTAGGGAATTTCTTTTACAGTTCATCCAGATATTATTCAGAAGTGTGTCTTTATTTCTTTTAGCTGGTCCTTCACAGAGACCAAGAATTTACCAACTACTATTTATTAATTATTATTTTATATTTAATAAATACACTCATGTCCAAAATTATGTTTACATGCATAAATTCACGGATTTCTCAGAGACTATGACTTATAATTTAATGAATTTTCGTGGAATCATACATAACATGATGACACATAAATGCAAAAGAAAAAATTGAAGATCACCTCATATGATATAAAATTGTAGCATGAAACAATAAAAATAATAATAAAATGTGACAAAGAGAGTTAAGAAAAAAAGGAATGATTCAGAAAAAGAATTAAGTCTTACGAATTTAATATGGAATATGATCTCCCCTGACTTGTACACACATATCATAATGTGTTTTAAGGCTGGAAATAACGTTGTTAACCACAGTTTGGGGAATTAATCTCCACTCTTCAGGCAATGCCGTCTTCAAACATTTACATCTCTAGGAGGAGGATGTGTACGTGCAATTGCTTTTCCAAGGTAGTCCCATAAGTTCTCTATCGGATTAATGTCAGGAGAGTTTGGTGGCCAAGGTATTCGCTTAATGTCTTCACTTTCAAGGAATTCATCAACAAGGTTTGCTCGATGTGGACGGGCATTATCCTCCATAAATATAAAAAGTCAGGTCCATATGCACCCCTGAAAAGTCTTACATAAGGATCTAAGACCTCATCTCGATATATCTGGCCTGTCACAGATCCGCTGCTGAACACGTGTAGGGGCGTACGTCCATCAATCATTATTCCACCCCATACCATCACACCTCCACTACCGAAACGGTCACGTTCCACAATGTTCGAGGGATCATTTCGTGTTCCTGACTCTCTCCAGATGTAAACACGTTTAGAATCACCAATTAAACTAAACCGCGACTCATCAGTAAAGAGAACATGGGACCATTGATGTTCAGTCCAGTTTTGATGTTTTTTACACCAATTAAAGCGATCCTCTCTTCCGGTGAAGACAGTAAAACACATACCCTTGGCTTTCTGGCATAAAGGCCTTTTTCATTAAGCCTTCTATGTATTGTTTGCCGTGATGCAACAGTTCCAGTGGCGGCTGCAAGCTCTGAACTTAACCGGCGAGCAGTAGCCTTTCTGTTACGACGGGCAGTTAATGCCAGATACCGATCTTCAGAAGCAGTTGTCATTCGTTTCCAACCTTGTCCAGCCCTCCTTACAACACTTCCATCATTTTGAAACTGTTTCCATATCTTAGAGACTGTCTGTCTTGAAATATTCAGACATGTGGCTGTTTCCATGATTGACTGCTCTGCTTCTAAACGGCCGATAATTCGCCACTTTACAGATTCTTCCAAATGATACTTCGAAGCCATAACAAACCGCTTTGAGTCCCTACACACTGAAATCAAACGCTATGTTGCAGAAATTCACTCAAATATTCAGTTTGCGCAAAGCGCTTGATTCACCTTGGATGACGTAACGCCTAGATTTGCATATCACAAACCGTTTTTGATTACTTTTTGATTGGATAATGCTAATTAGGCTTGGTTTTCACACATTCCCTGCAAATACGGATCACATTGATTCGATAATTCATTGAATATCATCATTTTTGGGCATGTAAAGATAATTTGGACATGAGTGGTATTATTTTTTTATTTGTGAATTAACTTTAATTTTGTTTTGTGTTTCAAGTTTTAGTGTTTGTTTTTAATTAGTGCCTTCCTGTTGGATAGTTTGCCACTGTCAGTTGATATTAATTCCACATATTTTATAACTTTGTTCGTTGATTAATTTCACAACATTTTGTGGAATATTAATAGTATTTTATTAATTATACATTCTTCAGTTTTGATATATCCCTTACCAGATGTCCCAGCCAGTTTGTCATTTTGTATCACTTAATTGGTAAAGTTTTAAAAATGCAGAATATATAACAATCAAATAGTATAGCCGTGGGTAAAACAGTTATTTGGCAATTAAAATATCCTCACTTTTGCATGCATGTTGCAAACTAAATATTTTGTATCTAAATTTAATTACTTTTAATGTTTCTTAGATGTTTCTCGTAAAACTTGCCTATAAAAATCAGATGTTTTATCTTTTCATCCACATATTTCTTCGCAGAATTTGTGATAGTATATAGCCTGAAATCTAGATAATTTTACTTCATTTTTTTAGATATTTTTCAACTAGAGTAACGCCTAGATTTGCATATCACAAACCGTTTGATTACTTTTGATTGGATAATGCTAATTAGGCTTGGTTTTCACACATTCCCTGCAAATACGGATCACATTGATTCGATAATTCATTGAATATCATCATTTTTGGGCATGTAAAGATAATTTTGGACATGAGTGTATTATTTTATTTGTGAATTAACTTTAATTTTGTTTTGTGTTTCAAGTTTAGTGTTTGTTTTTAATTAGTGCCTTCCTGTTGGATAGTTTGCCACTGTCAGTTGATATTAATTCCACATATTTTATAACTTTGTTCGTTGATTAATTTCACAACATTTTGTGGAATATTAATAGTATTTATTAATTATACATTCTTCAGTTTTTGATATATCCCTTACCAGATGTCCCAGCCAGTTTGTCATTTTGTATCACTTAATTGGTAAAGTTTTAAAAATGCAGAATATATAACAATCAAATAGTATAGCCGTGGGTAAAACAGTTATTTGGCAATTAAAATATCCTCACTTTTGCATGCATGTTGCAAACTAAATATTTTGTATCTAAATTTAATTACTTTTAATGTTTCTTAGATGTTTCTCGTAAAACTTGCCTATAAAAATCAGATGTTTTATCTTTTCATCCACATATTTCTTCGCAGAATTTGTGATAGTATATAGCCTGAAATCTAGATAATTTTACTTCATTTTTTTAGATATTTTTCAACTAGAGTTGGTAACACTGAAACTTATGCTGACCATGTTATGGTTTTTCATGTTCTATCTTAGTTTAGTTCAAATTGCGAGTCAGCATTAACAATTATTTTGTATTTTATGTTAAATTAATTTAATCTCCAAAATGCAAAAAAGCTGCTGTGTTTATTGATGAATTACAAAGAGATTATTTGTTTTTTTTTGGGGGGGAAAGGTTGTAATTATAGTCAAATGTGAATCATGCGTTTTGGAATTTTAAGTAGCTCATGGTGGCCATTCTGACATTCCAAATCAATTGAAATGTAAACAACGTAAGGCAAGCCTAGTAGCGGCAGCAGGATCTTTCTGATATGTGTTATATTTTAAAGGCACTGTTAATAAGTGACATATAATTCTTAATAGCAGTCAAAGAAACAATTTTTGCATTTCATGCTGTTATTTGCAGTCTCAGCCGTAAATCAGTCAATTTTCATCTAAATTGATTTAAAGTTCTTTAAAAGAAAGTATAGACTCGGCAGAACAAATAAACACATATAAATAGGAAAAAAATATATATATCAAAAAGAGCAGATAAAACATTATTGGATTAAAAAAAATTTTGTAATTGCATGGTTTAATAACACTCAGATATTATTGCCTGAACAAGTTTTCATCTGTTGGATGAAGCTGTTGTCCGCCTTGAGTAATCTCACTCCTCTTGTTCCTTATAATCTGCTTTATAGACTGCAAAATTTCTTTATTGGTAGTTTAATTTTTTGGGGGGAGAGCCAATAATATTGTTTTTGTATGGTTTTTAGGAACATCCATCTACTATCAATCACAGTATTATAAAATAATAGTACTGTATCTATTATGTAATAGCACTGAATATATTATGTAAATAGTACTTTATAATAGTAATGTATATGCAAGTGTCACTGCAGGACTGGATAAGCAGTATGTTTTTGCAATTGAATTATGAATTTGTTCCATGTCTTTTTTATTAAAACTAATGCAAGATCTTTTTTATTATTAGGATTAATTTAAAAATGCCAGCTCGAGATGCTGCCATCATTGTGGCTCTGCAACCTGTTATAGAAGATTTAATTACTCAAGCAGCTGTTGATCCAGAGTCTTTAAGTGAACCACTTCCTATAAATTCCAAGATTGTGGATCTGATAAGAAGGTTGTGTGATATAAATGCTGGAAAATATAATGCAGATAATCCTGAAAGTGATGGAATGAATAGCTATAGTAGTGGAGGGTAAGTTTATTTTTGAAAATCTCTCATTATTTTTTTAAGAAAGCGTAAAGTACAAAGCTTAGCCACTCATTTCATTTATTCGGTAGTTTATTAATAATGGTAGCTTGGGTTGGAAATAATAATAAGACAGTTTTACATCTCCCATTCTACTTGGGCAGTTGATGTAATTCAACTTGCAGTTTCCATGTCTTGAAAACACAACTTACATATATATAAGATTTATACATAGTGTTCTTGCATGCAAATTTTGATAAAAAATGACATACCAAGTTTTTTTCAATATTTTGATTCTACTACTCAAATTATGCTTGAAAATCAAAAACTGTAAAAATTTGGCGAGAAACTCGTTCATTAATTCGAAAAGGCCTTTTTTTCACTTTTTGAGAAGAGTAATTCATTTGGCAAGATTCTAAGTTTGTATTAACCTTTTCACTTTTGTTTTGCACACACAGAACAAACAATGCATCATTTATTTGTTCTTGAAAATTTTTTAAATCACATTTGCATTTTTTTAAAGAATTTTATTCTAATTATTTGAATTGCATGGTTGAACTATATTTCTTCACATAACTACTTCAAAAGTTTTAATTTATTCATTTGTACTATGTACTTTAAGTGTCTTTATTCTTATATTTTTTTTTAATTTAATTTAATTTATATGACTTGCATTTCCTTCAAAAGAATATTTTGTAACCCATTGTGTGCCACGATACATTTAAAAACTATATATTAAAAGTGAAAATATTGTAAAGCATGTTTATTACGTCTTTCAGAAATTCAGAAAGGCCATGTAAATGAGAAAGATGTATAATAGACATTTTAATTTATAACGATATGCATATTATGATATGCATTTATAATGACTGCTTTACTAGTTTCACCATTGTTTCATTGCTTTACACATTTTTATCATCCTACCTTTAATTTATTAAAATATTATCACTAAAACAATAGCAAGGAGACAACAGATCCAGAGAAAATGCAGGCTTACTGGGAACACATACTTACTCTGAGGACAGAAAAAGTTGTTTTTGACCTGTGGAGAGATGCATTATCATGGAATACAGCATATTTGGAATAATGATATCTGGTCGAATAATGTAATATTAAGAATCCCATGGGAATACAATAGCAGCATAACTGAACATTCATTTGCATTACCGCTTCGTAGCTGACAAAGTAACATGTTGAACAATTACAAAGTAACCACTTAATACTGATTCTGTCATCTGTTTAACTCAGGAAGACAAGCTGGTTGTATTTCTGTAGTTCTGACACTAATGTGAATTGCGAAGTAGTTTCTCCAAGAAAGACTTCCACAAAAGCATTCCTTTCCTTGGGCAGATTGCTCTTGTGTGCTTTGTCATATTAACCCAAGATAATGCAAAAAGATATGAAAGAGAAGACAGGAGCTATTAAATTAGTTAATTCTACTTTTTTGGAGGAGGGGATAAATTTTTTATATTATGGTTTAGTGTTATCATTCAGTGAATGTTTTCAAAATAGCTGTGGACAAAAGTGATCATATTAAGCACCACCTATTGTATAAAATCAAAATAATGTCAGATTTTTTAATAAAGAGCAAAGTTTGGATTTGTAAAATATTGCAGATTTGAATATTATCAATTTATATATTTACTAACTGCCTATACATATGTAATTATGAATCTTGGTTCTTTGAATACCCTTGATATCTCTGTTTTGATGTAGCCACAGAAAAGTATTCCAGTTTTTGACTTCTGCTTGCAATCTTTATTCATATTTCAACATTTGTTCTAGAGTATTAATTTGCAAACAGAGACCAACATTAAAAAAGTTATGTATTTCGGAATGTCTTCAGTTATGAGTTTTTCCGTATAAAACATTTTGAGATAGCAGTGTAAAGCAAGTTTAATTCACTTATGATTACTCAAGAAAATTCCAAATCGCAGTAGCATTCAATTTTTTTTTAGTATACTTTTGGTACAACAAATTTTATATTTAAAAAAAAATCAAGTTTTTTTAATTAATTTTTTTAATGAATCAATTGCTTTTTGAAATATAAATTGAGAAAAAACCAATTTTCTCAATTTATATAAAATTTGATTAAAATGAAGTTTAAGTAAAATAGCAAATGATAATATGGCAAAGGTAAAAATTTACTTGTAAAAGCATAAGAATTATGTATAAATAATTTTATATTTGTGTATTATATATATACACACACAGTAGTACTTCATGAAGGGGCACCTCCAAATAAGGCACAATTCTGTTGGTCCCTATGAATAGGGACCTTAATATATTTACCTCTTGTACGAGACACTCTGTATAAGGGATATTGAAAAAGTTTTAAAATATGAGTTAGAGAAGCAAATAAAAATAAATACTCTTTGTTGTTAATCTTTTGATTTTTCAAAGGCAAGTTTGTGCTCAGTGAAAGGTAGTTTTATGCCAGGGAACAAATAAATTCCTTATCCATAACTCATGCCAGACGTGCTGTATTGAAATACTGGCAAATTGCAAAGTATGGATTTTATTATTATTGTTATACAAATGCTAAATATGTCTTCTTTTGTGAATGTTACAGATATCTGCATAGGCTCTTTTGTTTTCATGTATATCACTATGTTGTGGTTGACCAAAGATATTGCAACATTAATACGGTTATGAATGTCTTGGAGATTAGCATGAAATGAAATATCAAAGATAGCATTCTTATCTCTTTAGGAAGTGAGAAGGACAAGGCTAGGAATTTGAATTGGTAAATGAATTAGGCTTGAAATGCATATGGAAAGACCATCAATATGAGAAGTTTAAGGAAATTAGTTCTCTCAATTCAGAGTCTGCTTCCTGAATTCAAGGAGTGAGAATTATATGAATAAATCAAAAGGCTTATGGCATACTTTTGGATTTCGGGGTGCAGGATTAACAAGTAAATAGGGTGCCTATTAAAATCTCTCTCTTATGTCGTTCAGGCATTAAATGGGCCTGTATTTGTTGTACATCTGCTTCATAAACCTTATTTTAACACCAAATGATAATAATAAAATCTTTTTAGATATAGCAAGCTTAGATATTGCCTGCTTGCTACAAGGAAAAAATGTCAAGAATAAACAAAATACTCCAGTGAACTATTGAAAGGTTGCAAGTTAAAAGTTCGATAAAGGGAACTAAAATCTAATGTAATGGGAGGCAGGTATTGACAGTATGTCAAGTCATAAAATTTTATTTTAGTATTATTGTCCTTACTAGTCTGGTATTAGCCTGATGGCTATAACCAGAACGTTATTAAAAAATTTCTGTCAGTTTCTCTTTGACATGAGAAAAATAAAGCACAAATTCCGCTGAAGGTGAAAAACGAGAAATGTCATAGTTTAAAGTAAATACAAATCATTGCATTGGTTAATCTTTGCAAAATAAGTAAGTAAAAAGAAAAAAAATGCTGGGATAGATATTAAAAAGAAATAAAGTAAATAGCTTCAAACCAGCTAGAGGAGGACAAGGAGCTGCATAGAAGATACTTAGCAAATCATGATGAGACAAGTTAGCCATTTGTTTTCTAGACTAAGTTTCTTTTTAAAAATGGAGCCATAAATGCTTTGTAAGTTTTAACTGAGATTTGGTTGATATAATCATCAAAATTGAACTTGCTGTTAAGATAAGCACCTAAGTACCTTGCAGAGTTGTGGAGCAGGATTTCAGTGTTATTTAGAAAAAGTTGCAAGTTCAAAGTAATTTAAAGTTCATTTGTGGATATGAAATAAAATTGTGGCAGACTTTGAGGGTTTAAGAACATTTTATCAATGCTTTCTCTTGCGATGCATATTTAAAAACTGCAAAAAATAAAATAGTGTCACCAGGTACTCTTAATAGTTAAATTTTGTGCCCCTCTGAAAAATATTTTTCTTGAATAATTTTTTTATTAAAAAATAAGAAAATTAAAAATGTTGATAAAAACAGAATCACTAATGTCAGGATTTGAACTGAGAACTCTTGATTCCAGCTCTGTTCAGTAATGCCATTGTTGAAACAAAATTTGACCATTAATATAAAGAGCTTAAGCCTTGGTTTTCTTGCTTATGTTTTAAGACAAGGTAAGCTTTCATTCCCAGTACTTTAAAGGTCTTTTGTAATTGTGCATACTTCAGGTGAAATTGATGAGTTCAAAATTGTAAATGTTTCTTATAAGAAAGCCCTTTCAGATGTGGTCATTTACTGTGAGATGTTCATCATAAAAGTTTTCTTTGGGGGGGGGGAGGTGAATTGACTGATTTATCCAGATAGTTTAGTTATTGTAATTTGTATATAAATTTACTCTTCCATTCACTTTTCCAATATCTAAGTCATGAAGCTACATGAGTTCCGTTCTGTGTATCATTAGTGTTCCAAGAGATTGAAAAATTATCCTGGCCTAGTGCCAAAATTCTTAACTGGAAATATATATAATTTTTTCTCCTTTATATTTAAAACCTGAATATGTATTGTTTTATTTGTTTCTAGGCCACCAATGAAGAGAGCTCGTTTAAGTGCTGGTATTGCTGGAGGAGGTCTACCAAGAGGATATTCTGCAAGTGGACGGTTTACTAGAGGTTCCAGTTATGGAAGTCGTGGTGGGGGAGGCTACGGTAGTAGAGGTGGAGGATTCGGGAACAGAGGAGGTGGAAATTTTCAAGGAGGTCAAGGTAGTTCTGGGGGATATGGAAACAGAGGTGGAGGTTATGGCCAAAATGATAGTTCATTTGGTGGTAGTTCTGATGGAGGATGGAAGAGTGGAAATCAGTTTGGAAATTCTGGTTTTAATCGTGGTGGTGGAGGAAGAGGTAATTTTGGTGGTGGTGCAGGAAGAGGAGGCTATGGTGGAGGTGCTGATAGAGGAAACTATGGAGGAGCTGGAGAAGGAAATTATGATGGAAGTGCTGGAAGAGGAAATTATGGTGGAGGTGCTGGAAGAGGAAATTATGGAGGAAATCAAAATTCGGGATATAGAGGCAGAGGAAGCTATGGTGGAAGTTATACAGGCCATGGAGGCTATGGTAGGGGATACAATAATCAGAATAATTCTGGTTATAATGATCAAGGCTGGTAACTACTCAGATGACAAAAAACTGAGAAAATTATTGTTAAATTCGACAGTTTTGATTATGCAGTCACTTATTTTACTAGAATGAAACAGCACCTATGCTAATAAAATTTGGAAACAACTTGCTGTAAATAGGACTAAATAGGTGAATTTGTATGTGCTCATTTTTACATTTCATCTCTCTCTCTTTTCCCGATGTGTATAGTGTTGGCTTTTGTAGTTTAAATAGCCATTCAGCGATATCAAGAACCTTTGTATATTTTCTCAATTTATAAATAAAGTATTTAAGTGAATGATCTCCTTTATTTATTAAAATCATATCATTTCAATCACTTGAAAAGGATAAAAACATTTTATTCATGAAAAGCTTGTACTTTGATTTTAAATATGCAGAGTGCGTCTAAAAAATGTATATACTCTTTGAACTGTCACAGAAAATTTATTTTACAAAAACCTACAATGTTTAATTTTTAATTTTAAACAATTAACATTTTTAAATAACATTCAGAATGCATAGCACATTACTAGCACTTTCACCACTCTCATGTGAGATGGGTCTGATTGGCCTTTACGCACATTATACATTGTTCCAGGAACCTGGAATTTTTCTTGTAGATGTGTAATTGTTAACCATGAAAGTGGATCAGTCCCATACTCACATTGCCACTGTTTTTGAACTGCGGCAACATTCGTCAAACTTTCAATACCATTTAATAACCTGCTTCTGTTCTTAAAAGCTCATACATACATCCACGATGTCGCATGTTACTCTCTTGGCAGTAACTGGGTTGTGCAACTATATAGTGCTGCCACCTGTTGAGGAAACAAAACATTACTTTTTCTTAGAAATATAATCTTGTAGGTAGGAAAATAAATTTTAAATAAGTGTTTCTGTAATTCTTAACCGTTATGAAAAATCAATAATTATAAAAAAAATTATATCTAATGAACAACTGAAATGAAAAATGTGTCTTTATAAGTTCAAATTTTATGCAAAAAAATATTAGCTTTTGATGACAGTAATATCATAGCAGTGGTAAAAATTTTGCCATACAAGGGTTGTAAATTAAATAGTGGCAACTTAACCTTGAAACTCGCAGAAGGGTGGGCATGCGCAAATAGGATATGGGAGCGGTGAGATGGTACTGTTGTCGATCTGTAGAGTGCAACAGTCGATCTGCTTAGAAGGGTAGTTGTTGTGTGGTGTTAAAGTGAGGAGTTTCGTTTCCATCGCTCTAAAGCATGTTTTCAAAAGGTGATCAGCGGTCGTGGCTTAAAATCGGTTTCCTGTAGCAAAAATGCAACAGAATGCTATAGAGGACTAGTGGAAGCCTGTGGCACAAATGCTTTATCGTATAGAACAGTAGCACGATGGGTTCAAGCATTTCGTTCGGGTCAAAATGAGACTGCAGATTTGCAATGCACAGGTCGGCTCTCTATTCCTAAAGAGCAGATTGACATCCTGAGTGGTCTCCTTACCATAGACTGCCAATGGACTGTCCGAGAATTATTCTTAGAGGTTGGCCTGAGTCATCAAACGGTGTGGTACATAATGAAGAAATCTCTCAACATGAGGAAAATTGCTTTGCGCTGGGTTCCACATCGACTAACTGAAGTACAGAAATGGCATTGGTATGCACTGGCTGGCACCCACTTGGAGAGATACCACAGTGAAGGAGACTCATTTCTGCAGCATATAGTCGCCATTGATGAGACATGGGCACGAGCCTATGAGGCTGACTTAAAGCATCATTCAAATGAATGGCATCACCAAGGTTTGCCACGCCCACAGAAATTTTGACAGAACCCCAGTCGGGTGAAGGTTATGCTCATTATGGCATACGACTGGGACTGTGATTTTTACACATGCTGTACCTGAAGGACAAATTGTCAATGCAGATTACTATTGCCGATTTCTACAGCACCATCTGCGTCTGGCTATGCGGCGCAAATGTCCACGTTTATTCCACAACAATCTCCCTGTCGTATTGCATGATAACGCTCATTGCCATATCGCAAACAATATCACTCTCCTTTTGCGACGGCAGCAGTGGGAAATCCTGGAACACCCGACATGAGTCCTTGTGACTTCAATCTGTTTCTGAAGTTTAAGGAAACCCCTCTGAGGCTCACCGATTTCAGGACGTTTCATCTGTACTCCATGCAGTAGGGCGCTTAAGTCGCTCACATCAACAATCAACACCTTGCCACTTTTCTACAACAGCTTCCCGACATTTGGCAAAAGGTTATAAGCTTTGCTGGTGATTACATAGAAGGAATGTAATGCAATTGTACTTGTAAGTTCATTAAAAATTGATTTATACCTATGTTGCCATTACTTAATTTACAGCCCTTGTATATTAGGTATTAATTATTATATGATTCTATAAAAATTTTTAATTTCGCAAGGTCTTTGAATGTAGTTCATTTTGTTGAAATTTTTCAATAGCCTTTAAATTTTGTGTACTTCGGAATGTCATTTCAGCTGAAACATCATTCTTATAATTTCTTTTCTAATGTACATTTTCATTGCTCTTTTTTGGGGGGGGAGGGGATATATTATATAACTATATCTCCCTCATATCTGAAAAAGAAAAGGTACATCTATTTTTTCGTTTCATTCCTCCCAATTGCTTAGGGTGGTAAGAACTGTGACAGATGTCTAAAAATGACTGAATCATTATTTGCACATTGTGTTGTGTCCTTTATTCTTTTTTATTTATGTATTTGTGATATTTCCATATTATAAAGGCCCCTGTTATTTATACAGCACCCAGATTATTGCAAGTTTTAATTAAGAAAAAGTTTACTTACGTAGCATACATGTTTACTTCTTGTATACAGTTTGTGGCCTCCCACATTTTGCAGCTATTTTTAAGACATTTTCTTGTGACAATGACTTCACTGTACAACCCCTAAATTTACAGCCTGTTATCCATCTCATTAACACTTCAAGTGACTAAACTCTCTCTCTCTCTCTCTCTCTCTATATATATTATATATATGGGGTATTTGCAGTAGATGAGCATTGGAAATGATGAAGCTTAGCAATCTGGTCACATCAGAGTCGTTGCGAAGTGGAAGGCAGCCGAATTGAAGACACAGAATTCTCTCTCTCTCTCTCTCTCTCTCTTTTTTTTTTTTTAACTCCATATCTTTATTCACTTAAAAGGGCAGATTATCATAGACTCCAACCTTCAGCAAACCTTGTCAGTAGTCAACGCGCGAACGACATTTTTACAACTTTGAAAATGTGCGCGTAGCGTATGTTGTAATTAACCATTCATTAATTTTAAATTAATATTAATTGAATCAATTTATTACATTAAAATCCATATACATATAAAACTGAATAATTTAAAAATATACCTTGTAAATTATATGCACATTTAATTAGAATTTTCTTTAACTCCTCAAGCATTCACTATAAAAAGTACTTCAAATCACTACTAATCATAGAAAAAATCAGAAGCTATAAATCATATCTTTATTCTGGATATGATTTCTACAGGAAATAAAAATTTAAATAACCAAGAATGATACAATAAGTATTAAACAAAATACGCATAATTTTATGATGCAAGATTTATATGTAGCATGCTTAGCAAGCTTAAGTTTCTGATTTTGAGAATGTTTTTTTATAACACAGTTCTTCATTTGCCTGCATATTATTTTTTCAATCAAAACTGCTTCAGAGTTTTAAGACCTAAATTTGGTCGAAATTCTGTCTGATTTTTTTAACAATAGAAAAAATTCTTTCGTAAGCTGCATTTGAATGAGGTGGTATTATTAAGACAGCAGCATTACAGAAGGCAATACTTTGTATTAATACCCATTCATATTTTTTAATTTGGCAATTCTCCCCATGCTATATCAATACCAAATCTACAATTCTTTCAAATCATGTACTTGATACATGGAAAATTCAATTTCTACTTGATTAAGACATTTTTCATCATATGGATGGAAAAGTATTCATCAAGTAAAGAACAGATGAAAATGAGACTTCAGTTCTCAAGTTGATGTCAGCAACTTCAGCATGTTTTTAGAAATGGATCACTCAGTGGAAATTTATCAAATATATGAACATGCAGTTACAAAAAAAGCTTGCACAGAATTGAAAAGTGATTTCACTTCACTTTCATTCAACTTGGCATTTTTAAATATAGTCTTGTTTCCGCACCAATCACTAAATTTTCATTTTCTTTTTGTTTACTATACTTCTGAAATGGAATAGACGTTAGAGTAACATCTTCATTTTCTTTAGAAATTACTGATGGTTTTACGAATCTAACAAATAAATTCATTAAAAGTTCAAAAAGTTCTCTTCTCAATTTATGTATATAAGGAGCTTCTTGTTGCAAATTAATATTTACTGTTATAAACAAAGGCAAGCTATTTTTCAAAAATAACAAGTACAATTTGGTGGTCGGTGACTGTAAAATTTTTTAATGTTTTGCAATCTCTTTCCTTCATTCTCACTGTTATCTGGTTTATCTCCAAAAAAAAATTTATCACAGCATCCCACTGTTCCAAAATCCTTGTTATAGATTCTAAAAGAGACAACCATCTCGTACTGCAATATTTCAAAATTTTATGAGATTTTGCATTCTGTCCCAAATTGTGTTGAGGCAACTTTGAAGCTATGCTTCCGTTTCGAACTTTTCTCCAAGTAAAAATATATATCTATTATCAACATTTCAATTTCTGAGCCAATTAATTTTTCAGTAGCTTTTTTTGCAGCTATATGCAAGAGGTGGCACGGACAACCTCGGGTGATATGGTTGACGCATTTTGATAAATGATGCTACACCTTTAAACTTCCAATCATATTACTAGCATTATCTGAAGAAAATGATAAGCAATTTTTCCATTCTAAACCTTTGTTTTTAAAGTTTTCATTTATACAATTAAAAATACCTTCTCCTGTATTATTCGTGCATTCTAAAATAGAAATCAATGAAGTAAGTAATTATCAATCCCTTTCTTTACTGTAGTATGTTATAACCAATGGGTACAGTTTGTTATCATTGTTATCATTACTTCCATCAGTACTTAGAGAAAATGATGTACTGCACACTGATTTTATAATATCAGCAACAGTATTTTCTGCAAGCGTTTTCACAATAGCAGCAGTTTTGGTATGACCGCAGCTAAATTTTTTTGCTATGGCAGAATCCGGAAACATTGCTTTGAAAAGCTCTTTGGAATGATCCGAAACAGAAAGCAGTAGATTGTGTTCAATTAAAAAATGAACACAAAATAGCATTCGGCTTTTATAGGATCTGTTTTC